CATCAGACGATCGGCAGTCGAGCAAAGGCGCGCTTGGTCGGATTATATGCCTTGATTTTATGCAGTCTCTAAGTATCCGTGACTCCTTCAATCTGTCTTCTTCTCAGTCTTCCCCTGCCTCTTAGGGTTTTGATTTTCAGGTTGTATGCTCTTTCTGCTGACGAGGTTAGTTTCATTCTCATTAGATGGCCAAACCATTTCATTCTTTGTTTCTCAGTAAATTTGATGATGGGTGTTGTTTCAACAGTTCTTGTGATCACATTGTTTCTCACTCGATCTCTTCTGGTTTTATTCACAGCCATTCCAAACAACTCACAGTTGGTTAGTTTTCTCCTGTGTTCTTTTGTCAAAGTTTGAGTATGATAATGGTAACCGAAAGTCAGTATAAATATTGTATTTATAATTTGTCTTGGGCAGTCCCCGAGTGCTGTGATACTCATAATACAGTATCTATCATAATCTAAACCCAAATCAAAGCAAAATGTCAAACAATGCAAATTACATTTTGGTCATATAAATAATTATGTGATATATAAATTTGAAATAACAAATATATACTCTGAGAATAATTAACACTGTATATAAAAGTATAACCCTGAGGGTTGAACAGGATATTTTTGTTTAGATTACTACTGTCTCTCTACATGTAATGAGTCAGCTTAATTTTCACTCTAATGATGGGGCTCTAGAACCCATAGAGATGATGGCAGAATTTCACATAAATCAAGAGGTTAATTTAAACGTTCAGATATATCTTCAACAACTCGCGTAAACTACTATTTAGAGAGATGAACAACACACTAAAATGAATTGTCAAATGTTTAGTCAACCCAAAATTCATGATGCCACCAGATACTTGGGTGCGAATGAGCAATAAGAAAATCGAATATAACCCACTTGGGTGTGGATATAGAGAAGTGTTGAATTTAATGGAAACAAAAAACAGTAAAATACAGACGTTCTGACCAAGTTGACAATACTGGATATGAAAAGAGAGTTTCTGAAATAAGGTTAGTTGCGTATCATTTAGAGGATGTTGCAGAACCAACCCCTGGCTGTTGTGTGTGGTTTTTCTAGGCAAATTTACATCAAGTAGTTTGCCATTGTTTCTGGACGGTCAGCTTTCTTGATACCACTGTCGAAACCAACTCAAGGTGCATGGCCCGCAGCTGGGATCGAAAACAGTATCCCGGCATTACGAAGCGTTCACATCGACTTAGCCACAGAGCCAACTTCCTAAAATAAACCATACATAAAAATGCATTGAAATATTAAAGTCACATGAAAGATAACGCTTTTTTAAAAAGCTTGCACGGTTTGTAGGGGGAAGGAGGGCTCGGGGACAAGAGGTAGACAGCGATGCAAGGGTTGAGGCGCAGCATTCAGAGATAGACGAATAGCTGTCTGGGATGTATACAACCAAGACGAGAAAAATTTTTAAGAACCAATGCAGCGAATCTTCATTGTAGAGAACACCTGGTTGAGTGATTTATGAACTTACAGGTTACTGTTAGGGTATTTATTTATTACACGTTACTGTTTGTGTTTGTTACTGCTTTTTTCTTCTTCGTTCACCATTAAAATGGCAGTTGGCACCGTGTTGGTTACGGTTAATATGTTTTTTCGACGTCTTTCGGTCCAACACATTGTAACACACAGCATTTTAAGAAAGGTGGAGACAGGCATGCTCCGTGCAGAGTGGCAAGCATCACTTCAAAGGTCCTGGGTATTTGGCATCATTTGGATATTTTCTCCAGGTTATGCTGGTGTGTTGGAAAATGAGCAGGCAGGTAGACTGACCGGCTCTGCACCACTTGGTGGTGAACTGATGTATGACAAGTTAGATGTTGTGAGGGCTCTTTGGGAACGATTAAACAGTGCGGAGGCACAAATAGATCATTACGGTCTGAGGAGAATGGCACTGTGAAGAATTGTGAGGGGATCTGGCCGACGCTCGACACTAGGGGAAATGCGAGACGGAGAGACAATCAGTTACTGGTACCATCGGAATTTCCCCCTGAAGATGGGGACGGAGCGCTTATGGGGGTGTCCTGAGTGCTGTGATGTCAATTCTTATTTCAACATTCGGTCCAACATATTCATTTTCTGCAAACCTCAAATTAGTAGCCTTTTATGCTATGCTTGTTAAAGAACACTGGGTCTAGTCTCCCCCACCCATTACAAAATGGGCCGTACGCAGACAGTGGATCGAGTCATTGCAAAACACTGTATGGAGTTACCTTCATATTTGTACCAGGGCGTACGGGTGTTGATGGCACTGAAAGGAGCAACAGATTAGTCTTAGTTAAAAGAGAGGCGGATCATGCCGACATTGTTAATGCCATAGAGAGGTAGGACGTTAGAAAGATTTTGGGAGCAGCACTTCCACATCTTTGCTGGAAGTGCAAGAATTAGGATTAAAAATCGGCACAGCCAGGCACGAGAAGCACACCGGACGCACGAGACGTCTTCACAACCAACATAGGACTGGGACTATGAACCACGGGACGCTGATGTATGTGCTGAAGGGGGAATCTGAGCACCTATGGACGTGTCCGGAGTGCCGTGAAGATAACCCAGATCATAACTCATAACTCAGCCTAAGGTCGCCTTAGTCTTGACCATTATGTGCAGCTCATCGCAAGGCCCAAACCTTTTTAGAAAAAAACTTTTTTTACTTCTACTGTTACCAATCAGTACAAATCTTCTTATTCTCTTCTCCGTGTATCTCCCCCCCCCCCCCTTTTTTTTTTTCTCCTCCTTTCTTTTCCAATAGTTCACGGATATTTTCAAAAGTCAAGACTGTCCCATGGCTACTTCCTGTAGACCAGGCATGACAAACTGTGAGACCCACCTGAGGTCTTGTGGGTCAGATTGTGTCTTCATGAGGGCTAGACAAGACAACTGGAGTTATTTGATGAAAATTATTGCAGAATAGTTTCTTTGTACGGACCACTCGCGTGCTTGCAAAGGGCTGCCCGCGGACCGTCAGTTTGACCTGCATGCTGTAGATGCCTTTGTGTCCTTGTTGTTCTTGGCAAGGGCCGCAGAACCTCTCAGCTTAGTCTGTTCTGTTGCCCAGTCCTACGCAGGTAAGGAACTCCTATTTTTGATCGGTCCTCGTTCCCTAGAACTATCTCTTTTTAGCGATTTTTCTACCGTCACATGTGTACTGCAGTGGATCGCATGTTCACCCAAACGACAAGAACAACCAGTCAGCTTCACGGGAACGCACACGGCAAGTGAATGTTGCGGATAGAGAGCCTTCATCGGTACATTTCATAATCTAATGTATGAACAAAAACGAATACCATAAAATCACGTATCTCTAATCTTCTTCTTCTTCTTCCTATTTTTCTTCTTCTTCTACTTTCTTCTTCTTCTTTGTCTTCTTCTTCTTCCTCAGCATTCCGAGCCTCATTAGCGTGCTACACCAACCACAGCCGTCTCCAGGAGGCAGTGACACCAACCACGCAATGCTTTGTTAACAAACACCATAGGGTTCCGGAGAAAAGCAGTAGAGTGTGACCTTTTTTTTTTTTTTTTACATAGTCACTCATAAATATATGTATATGATACAATAAACTTATATTTATTAGTACATCACAGCACTCGTGGCATTCCCATAAGCGCTCCGTCCCCATCTTCAGCAGCCAGTGAAGAGTTCCGGTACTAATGGTGCCAGTAGCATTCTGATTAAACGTCCGTCTTGCCTTTCCTCTAAGCCTCGAGCATCTACCAGAACCTCTCGTCCCTCCTCACTGCATCAGCCTAACCAGACTGTGGTAATCCATCTACTCCTACGAACTGTATACGCTCTCCCACAAGGACACCAACCACGCCAGCCTTATTATGTATCAGTATTCCCCCAAGTTGTGCAGAACCAGCCAGTCTGTCCGCTTGTTCATTTCCCAATACACCAGCGTTTCCAGGTGAAAGCATCCAGGCAATACTCCTCACCCGTGTCCTCCGCAGTGAAGCATGCCACTCTGCACGAAGCATGCCTGTCCTGATCTTCCCCAGTATGCTTTCTGAGTCAGTTACAATCATGAAGGTAGACCAAGAACAATATAGAAAGATAACATAAGAGAAACTCTACAACTGTCTATCGTCATGGTGACCATGAGAACAAGCAAGAACCAGGCCCAGATATCTTATTCCACGCACGAAGCGATTAGGCGGAGAGGGGGGGGGGGCGGAGATCTTTATATAAGGGAGGTCACAGGGATGCTTCGAGCAGAGTGGCAAGCTTCACTTGAAAAGTCACAGGTAGTGAGCATACTTTGGATCTTTCTCCAGGAATGCCGGCGTCGTGGATAATGAACAGGCAGGCCTATTGGCTGGATCTGTACCACTGGGTGGTGAATTGGTACATAACATGGCAGATGTGGTCAAGACCCTTTGGGAACAAGCAACGGAATCAGTAGAGAAAGAAGATTATTATGGCCTGTAGAGAATGAAGTCGGCACTGTGGCTAAGTCGATGCGAACGCTTCGTAATTGCCGGGATGCCGGGTTCGATCCCAGCTGCGGGCCATGCGCCTTGCTTTGGTTTTGACAGTGGTATCAAGAAAGCCGACCGCCCAGAAAGAAATGGCAAACTACTGGACGTAATTGCCTAGAAAAACCACACAACAGCCAGGGGCTGTTGGGATTGGTTCTGCAACGTCCTGTAAAAGATACGCAACTAACCTTAGAGAATGAAGCACCTGGTTGTAGCTAGGGGGTCTGGCCGGCTCACTATACTTAGAGGAAAGGCATTATAACCAGATATAACCAGATTGTGACCGGTACCATCAGTATTAGAACTCTGCGCTGGCTACTGAAGATGAGGACGGAGCGCACATGGGAATGCCCCGAGTGCTGTGATGTCAATTCTTGATTCAACTCAACTCAACGTGTATGCACGACACAAAAAGATGATGATGATGACAAAGTCGAAGATACAAATAAAGGGGGATCACTGCTGTATGATCCTCGAATTGCAGTTCCTGATCAAACATGGTGGTTCACAAGATGTGTGTTATCTTCGGGCTGATTGCCTTACTTCATGCAGCCTTTTCTGCAGCCCAGCGTGAGTATATTTTCATTTATTCAAAGTGGCGATGCTGTTACTATTCAGCTGAATTCTCGCCGCTTGCGTCGTTTTCTTACTCGTTGCTAAGAAAGTAAGAAAACAGATACATTATACAATGATACATACGGCTACGCCAGTCATGATTCAAATGATGAAATTCTGCTAGGTAGGTACGTTGAGCATGGAGACACCACAGATGTCTGTTCACTGCTGCATCAGAGGACGCAGCACAAATGGATCGATATGCTATGCAAAGATGTCGATACGGATAACAAATAAGTATAAGGAGTTGTGGCTTTTCTATGAATCGTTCCCCATCGGCTTTAACTTTAATATGATGGCGTATGAAAGAGAGCTAAATTGGCCAATTTCTGGCCATAAAATATCCGAATGCGGGTCAGTTCTATTAAAAATATATGTGCCGGCTCCGGATAACGAAACAAATGCTCTGACAGGGTCTCGGCGATACGATGCTTGCCGACCTGCTTCAGCGAGTGTGCCTCACCGCCGAGCGTATCCCCCGCGCCGCTATACGCACGGCGCGGATGGGGGCTAAACTAGATGGCTGGGATTCACGAGCGGCAGCTACCGCATCTCCTGCAACTTCCTCCAATCACTGTACTCGTGAGTCCCAGGCACCTAGTTTAGCCCTCATCCTCGCCGCGCGTAGTGGCGCAGGGGAATACGCTCGGCGATGAGTTTAATCGTGTTTGGCGCATGCCAACAAGTCTGACATCTACCGCTGCTAAATCCTCCAATCGGAAGAACACAGTATTGCTAATCAGCTTTCATCGTCTGTAATGTCTCGAAATTGGTCAACCGTCGCAAATAACGTCTGCTAGTATCGTCTGCAGAAACACTCGAAATTGTTGTCAACGGTCGGTATTTATCGTCTGCTACTAGTACCGTGTGCAAATGTTGATATTGATTGTCAAGTAATCCTAGTTTTGCCGCGATTTGTTCCTTGGCAGAAAGTCCGTATTTTAGATATACGCAAACACTGTCGTTTGGATATTTTTGGATATTTTATGGCCAGAATGTGGCATGTCGCCATTTTGGGGAATGAATCAAAGGAGCGCCGAGTTGTTAATCATTGAAGGCCTATACCCTATTTGAGTAAATAACGACTGGAAAAAAGTCGAAATTAACCCTAATCCGTAAGAAATATCCGAATAATGGGCACTAAAGATGGCAGCCGCAAAATATCCTTACGAGCCTCAGTCACGTGTCAATTCTGCACTTCCAGCAACTTAATTTGCGGTTTTCCGGCGACTACCGAGTCCAATATGTGGCGTGGATTGGGGCTAAACTAGATGGCTAGGACTCACAAGCAAAGCTGCAGGAGATGCAGAAGCTGCTGCTCGTGAGTCCTAGCCATTTAGTTTAGCCCTAGTTTGATCACTGGAAAACCGCAAATTAAGTCGCCGGAAGTGCGGAATTGACACGTGACTGAGGCTCGTAAGGATATTTTGCGGATATTTAGTGCCCGTTATTCGGAGGATAGCCGAAATAATAAATATAATGGCTCTCCTCCGAACTTCGTCCCCATATTGTGGCCGTCAAAAACAAATACCCTAACAGGGCCTCAGTCGTGTGTAAAATGTGGAGTGCCTGCCGAGGAACAAATTGCGGCAAAACTAGGATTGCCTCCAAATAATGGGCCAATATTATCGAGGGCAAAATAAATACTCAGGGTCTCAGCGATATGTTTATTGCGGACCTTTTTCTGTGACTATCCTGCACCGCCGACAATATCCCCCACACCGCTACACGTGGCGCGGATTGGGGGGGGGGGGGCTAAACTAGATTGCCGGGACTCACGAACAAATAAATTTGAGGAAGTTGCAGGAGATGCGGTAGCTACTGCTTGTGAGTCCCAGCCATCTAGTTTAGCCCCCTATCCGCGGCGCGGGGGATACGCTCGGTGGTGAGTTTAATCGGAAGAACACTATCGCTAACCTGCGTTGGAGCGCGTGGTCTCTCCGCCATGTTGCTATTATTGTGTGTATAGTTTTTGCTGCCATGTGTTCGTCGGAGGAAGTCCGCATTTTATACACGACTGAGGCCCTCTTAGGGTATTTGTTTGGCCGCCATAGTATGGGGACGAAGTTCAGAGGAGAGACAATATAAAATACAGTGTGAAGAGGCAACTCAAACTCATCAAACTGAAGTAGCCAAATTGTTACTTTAGTATTTAGTATGCTATGTTTAGTTGAAAACATTAATGAACATATAATATTACAGAATTAATTCTCCCTATATGGCTTCCGGCGCCCCATTGTGGGGAAAACAAGAATGGAGTAACAGATCCATTGCCCATGTTGTAGGAGTGAACTAATTGGAGGCATCCTTCGAAGTCGCAGTACCCTATTCAGTATTATTGTTTGCCTGAAGGTAAGGAAAGGAACCAAGTCTGCATACAACAAAGCCAGGTCTGTGAAACAGATTTGCAGTCAACACCCAGGTTCTGGAACAAGACGGAGGTGGTACAGAGTTTACAGCCGGTGATCTCAAAGAAGATATTGTTGTATTCAAAAGAAAGAGCCATCACATAACATGTTAACAGAAAGAGTTTATCTCTTGTGATATGCCAACAATGAACATAGACGGTCAGTGTTTGTCATCTCGCACTATCATCTTTGTCATCTGACACAATCATGGGAATTAATTATCACAACTGAGGTATTTGTTCCTGTTCCGCTCAAGCTGAGTGTCCAAGATCCAGGTGTAATGTTTGCCAGTCACTGAGACTTTGATCTAAATCCTTTAAATAAGGTGCAAAAAAAATAAATATGGCTACCAGTATCTACTTTCTCTGATTGGTTTGTGATATCACAGTTATCATACAAGTAGTGATATCACACAAGTAGTACCATGTGATATCACAGTTATCTTACAAGTAGTGATATCACACAAGTAGTACCATGTGATATCACAGTTATCATACAAGTAGTACCATGTGATATCACAGTTATCTTACAAGTAGTGATATCACACAAGTAGTACCATGTGATATCACAGTTATCATACAAGTAGTACCATGTGATATCACAGTTATCATACAAGTAGTGATATCACAGTTATCACACAAGTAGTACCAGGTGATATCACAGTTATCATACAAGTAGTGATATCACAGTTATCACACAAGTAGTACCATGTGATATCACATTTATCATACAAATAGTATCATGTTATATCACAGTTATCACAACCACAATACAAGCTGCTCCCACAAAAAACACATATTGTTTTGCACTGGAAATGTGCACAAAATAGCAGTTCATGATAAGGGAACAGAACAATCCGAGAGAATTGACAGCCATTGTAACATAACACAGCCTCTAATCGCCATTTGTAAATGGGAGAACCTCTTTGATGTAATATCTATTTAAATAGTAGTATTTCTGCATCCACAGATCGCACTTATCTCAGGCTGACAGAACAGGAGTTTACAATGCTGCCTCAAGATGTAAGTGTCAGTACCAGCCAAGGATCAGCTGGTTGAAATAATATTTTATTACCTCTAAGTCATGTCAAATGTTGAATTAAAAATTGACATATCACTCGGGACACCCCCTTAAACACTCTATCCCCATCTTCAGCAGCAAGCGAAGTGTTCCAGTTCCAATTGCACCAGTAACTGTCTGATTGTATATCTTTCTGGCATTTCCTTTGTGTGTCGGTCAGATCCCCTCACAGTGCCATTCTCTTTAGACCGCAGTGATCTGTTTGTGCCTTCACACTGTTCACTTGCTCCCAAATGTATCTACATCTAGCTTGTCATACATCATTTCACCACCAAGTGGTGCAGAACTGGCCAGTCAATCTGCCTGCTCATTTCCCAAAAAAACCGGTATGACCTGGAAAAAATATCCAGAGGATGCTAACTACCCGGGACCTCTGAAGTGATGCTTGCCACTCTGCACAGAGCATGCCTGTCATTAACTAAGTCATAAGAAGCAGTAACGGAATTCATAATTTATTTAAATCACCACTTATTATTGGCACAGTGAGGGCTACTAGATTATGATGGTTGGAGCAGAGAGAGAGACAATGCCAGATAACAGAGACAATGCCAGATAACAGAGACAATGCCAGATAACAGAGAGACAATGCCAGATAACAGAGAGACAATGCCAGATAACAGAGACAATGCCAGATAACAGAGAGACAAAAACTGCCTACACCAAAGAGTTGAATGGGAGTAGACCATGAGGTGGTTTCTGCAGAGGAGCAAAATCCGAATCTATAAGAGCATCATTTTGCCAGTTCATCTTTATGGAGCAGAATGCTGGAGAATGACCAAAATGGATGCACATAAGCTATCCACCTTCCACCACACATGTCTATTTAGAATTATCAAAATTGTCTGGCCAGTTAAAATCTCAAACAATAAACTACTTCAAGTCACAAACCAAGAAACTCTAGACAGTATGATAACAAAGAGAATTTAAAAATGGCTTGGCCACGTCATGAGAATGAATCCTCATATACCGGCCAAAACAGCTCTTAATTTGACACCAGAGGAAAAGAGAAAGAAGGAGCGTCCAAAAAATCCTGGAGATGGACGGTGGAAAGTGAACTGAATGCTGCATCTCTGACATAGAAAACTGCAATAAAGATTGCACAGGACAGGAAGTCATGGAAAGAGCTGATAATTAATAGCACTGTGAGGGCTAATAGATTATGATGGTTGGGACATAGAGAGACAATGCCAGATAACAGAGAGACAATGCCAGATAACAGAGAGACAATGCCAGATAACAGAGAGACAATGTCAGATAACAGAGAGACAATGCCAGATAACAGAGAGACAGTGCCAGATAACAGAGAGACAGTGCCAGATAACAGAGAGACAGTGCCAGATAACAGAGGGACAGTGCCAGATAACAGAGAGACAGTGCCAGATAACAGAGAGACATTGCCAGATAACAGAGAGACAAAAACTGCGTAAACCGAAGAGTTGAATGGGAGTGGACCATAAGATGGACCAAGAAGAGTCATGGAGAGAGAATATACATGCAGACTTACGAACATTTGGAGTCACCAACTGGGAAGATAAGCCAGTCACAGAGATGAATAGTGGCAGAGTGATATTTGCAGCATTGAACCTAATGGGCTCGGAATGTTGAAGAAGAAGACATGCTTCCTTTCATGGCTGCTGTTCATCATTTATTGGGGCCTTTCTGTACGATAGCTATAAATAATCATATTGTGCTACTGGAGGCATGGGTGTCATATCCATGTTGATGACAAGTGTGACTAGCAAGATCTGTTCGAGTCGCGAACGGTCTTCTACATTTAGAGCGTGGAATTCAGGACCATTGTTGCCAACGCATAAATTTAGTATGCTTCTTCTCAAATGCTAAGCTCTCAGCTTTTCTGTTGTCTTTTTTCTTCCATTATTCCTATTCTTTTCCTAATTTTTGTGTGTCCAATCCACTCAACACGGTTCATGGCATTTTGTTCCCACAAAGCTACCTCGCTAGCTGTATCATTGAGTCCTAGTTGCACACATCTTATGAAGTCATCATCAGTTTTGAGAAGTTTCTCTTAAGGTTTTGAAATAGTAAAGCTAGTCCCCACATGGTGATTGCCAGCACAAGCCAGATTTACTTCTGGGATCTGAGTTTCCCAGAAGATACCTTCTTTTATTTTGTCAGTAGAACAAGGCTCTCGCTACTGGCATCGTTGGTTTCATTCGCAGTCATTTTGCAAACGAGCCCAACACATTTTCATTTTTCAGATGAATGCAGAAGAAGAAGAAGAAACACCTTTGTGGTGATTTTCAAACCAAATGTAGCTTACTGTTTCCCATACTAGGATTTATTTGGGTGCGGGTTCTGGAGAGGGGTGGGATACAGACTGTTTACTCATTGAAAGTAACTAAAGTAAAAGAACCTTATTCACGCCATTGATGCAGCAGGCATCTTCTTATAGACCATGCCATGTAGCTTTGGTAATCATGTCTGTCCACAGCCTTCTGTCTCGGTTTGTTTCAGACACAGGAACAGAGCAATTATGTGCCCACCCGTCTGCAATGAAGTTGGAACCCCTGTCTAATGACTAGCCTGACACAGATGATCTTCCATGCCTTGAAGTAAAACATTATGCCATATCAGGTCGTGCTAGGTTTATATTTGTAAAGGTTTACTCATTAATATTCAGTTAATTTGGTTTCTTTTGTTGCCTTTTCAGATTTTCCTTCAGTGCATTTTAGGACTCCTACTCACTTGCTATGGTGTAGTGAATGTTGCCGGCAACTTTAGAGAGATTAAAGCCAGTGCAGAACAAGATAGCAAGTATGTGATTCGTTTCTGTCACAAACATAATACAAATTTTAAACATCGTGCAACTTTAGAGAGATTAAAAAGCCAGTGCAGAACAAGATAGGATGTGATTAATTCCTGTCACAAACATAATACAAATTTTAAACATTGTGCAACTTTATAGAGATTAAAAAGCTAGTGCAGAACAAGATAGCTTGTGATTCATTCCTGTCACAAACGTAATACAAACTTTAAACATCAGGCAACTTAAGAGAGATTAAAGCCAGTGCAGAACAAGATAACAAGTATGTGTTTTATTTCTGTCACAAACATAATACACACTTTAAACATCAGGCAACTTTAGAGAGATTAAAAAGCCAGTGCAGAACAAGATAGCATGTGATTCATTCCTGTCACAAACATAATACAAACTTTGAACATCAAAGTCATCATCATAACTTTCTTGCCTAGATAATATTGTGGTCTTATGTATTGGTTACAAACACCCACACACTTGGTTGTGTCTGCTGTCCCTGTGTGGATTCCAGGGTTCCATTTTGGAGAACAAAGTGTAGACCACTCCTCATCTCCACAAAAGCATGTCATAGAAGAGGAAATGATTAATTAGGGATGTTTCCTTGAAGGTGCGGGTGCATCTGCCTGAGAGGCAAGGAAACAACAGTCTGCATACAGATAAGCCCAATCTGTAAACTGGATGTACTTGCAAAACTCGAGTGGGTGATCAACACCGAAGTCCAGGAGTGGATGAAGAACCTAAACGTTCTCGCAGAGTTTGCAGCTGGTGATCGCTAAGAAGAAGAAGTACCTGCTGAATTGTTTTTTGTTGGTCAGGCAAATACACATGGGGCAGGAACAGGTCGACACGAACACCTACAACAGCAGTTTCTATCTGGTCGTTATCACACTAGGAAGAGAATGTACAGAGTAGTGTAATGGTATGGCAGGATTGGAGGTACAACAACTGATAGATGGAAAGGCTGGACTAGATGTTGCAGTAGTGTACACCGATGGTTCTGTTCATCAGGGTGTAAGATCTGGCTAAGGATTTTCAGTTAGAATGAAGGGAAAAATTGTGGCAGAACAAAACAGAGCTTTTTTAACTACAACTTCAAGCATGAGAATGGAAGTGGAGACAATCACTGCAGCTCTGAAGTGGATAGCAGAAAACAAAGGCACCAGAGGAATTATTGTGTCTGATTCTCAGTCGGCATTGAGGAAGGTTTAAAATGGACTAATGTCTTATGAGTGAGTGGATACCATGCATCAGTACACCAGCATTGCAGGGAATCACGTGGAAATATTTTTCAGGAAATGCAGGAGTGCGAGGGAATGAAAGAGCAGATTATCTGGCTACAAAAGTGAAAGCTATGGGAACACTCATATTGGACACAGGAGATATTCTTCAGACCATACATGAACGACTTTTGGCAGAAGACACAAGATTAGATGAAATAACATGTGCAAGAATGTGTGAACGAGGAATTAAGTGTGAATTGGATAAGGAGGGACGGATGAGACAAAGAGATAAGCATGTGTATAATCAGTGTGCTACAAGAACAGTCAGCATCTACACCTTACGTCATTTGCTGCGGGAGACGGAGCATCTAAAGGTATGCTCAGTCTGCTATGATGTCGATTCTTAAATCAGTAATTGTTGGTCAACCTCTATTACAGCATGCATCAGTATCTAAGTATCTCCATTGTTGAATCTTCGACACCTTCCTTCTTGCCAGACAATAGTGTTATATGACCTGTAGGGAGGCATCAAAATCACAGTCTGCAGTGATGGCGAGCGTGACTAGCAAGACTTGTTCATGTTGAGAAAAGTCTTCCACAGTTAGAGCATGGGATTCCAGGACCATTGTTGCCATTGCATGTATATAATGTGCTTCTTCTCAGATGCTCCACTCTGAGCGTATCTGCAAATAATTTCCTCTTTATCTGTATTCTCTTCCTGATGTCTCCCTCCAAACTGTTGCCGACCTGTTCCTGTCAGTCCACCTCATTGTTATATATTGCTTTTGAAGTCAGCATGTATCTGCCTCAGAGGTGAGGAACCAACATTCTTTACACAAATAAGCCAGCTCTGTCAAATAGATTTGCATGCAAAACTGAAGTTATGTATCAAGACCAAATGTCAGGAGTGGACAAACAGCCAGAACTTTATGCAGGAGTTTACAGACAAGAAGAAAAAGAATAAATTGTCAGCACATGACACAGAGATAGAGTTACCTTTCACTGATTGAGTTATCAACACACAACATTCTTTGAATAAATTATCAATACATTACACAGGGAGAGAGTTCTCATTCGGTTATAGCTTCTGCTCGACTTACGACCTCTGCAATTTATGACTATCCGCACCTCAGACAATAAATAAATAAATAAAAATAGTAAAAGAAAGACAGATAACTTCAATGGTAAGGTCAAAAGAGTTTCTAGAACTATAGCAGTATAGTACACATTATGTACAATAATTATACATGCAAAGCTTGAATTTGTGTGTTTTATGTACAATTTTAAAAATCAGTTTGAGTGAAAGTAGTGTTTAAAAATATAAATTAATGAAATGAATCGAGAATTGACATCACTGCACTGGGGACAATCCTACACGTGCTCCACCCCCTTCTTCAGTAACCAGCGAAGAGTTGAATGCTAATAGTACCAGCTGTAACCTGATTGAAAGTGCACCTCTGTTTCCCCTTCAATGTTGACTATCTTCTAGAACCTCTACACTTTCAGTGTCTGGATTACCTATCTACTTTTGCACTGTCCATTTGATCCCTAGAGCCTTTACTATTTCACTTTATCATATAGTAGCTCACCACCTAGAGGAGTAGCAGCAGCTAATCTATCAGCCTGCTCATTACCTCGCAAACCTGAATATGCTGGACAGATAATCCATGATATGCTCTTGACCGGGGTCTTAACAAGTGATGCAAGCCACTCTGGTTGGCGCAGAACACCAGTTTCAATTTTCCAAAACATGCTCTATGTGTCTGCTACAATTACATGTCGGGCTGTGCTGATCTCAAGCCATCGAAAAGCTGCCACCACCTCTATTCTCATATTGGGTGTAGTGACGTTGTACACAAGGTTCTCTGTTTTTAAGCAGTCCATTCGTCTTTTGTAAAATAAATGAAAAATATAAATTAGACTTACAGCCTGTTGGAGCAGAACTCAGTCATAGGTTGAGGAGATCCTGTATTAAATTTTCAATACGGGTCACAGTGATAAAATTACTGTCCACTAAATTCAGATGTCATGGAAGATCACATAATGCCATATTACCACAAAGTTATACATCATATTTCTTCTTCTTTGCATTCACCGGCTGTAAACTTCAGTGTTTGTCCACCTAAGGAGTCTTGTTCCAGAATCTGAGTGTTGTGTGCACATCCATTTTCCCATATCTGGCTTATTTATATGCAGATTCTTGGTTCCTTAGCAGATGTACCCTGACTGAAGGAGGCATTGGGTCTCTTCATAGAGCCCTAGAACCCATACAGGGATTGTCATATTTTACATCTCACTGCCTGCTGGACGGGTCTCCCTGAGCAGTTGGTCAAGCTTTTTACCTCACATTCTGATGGTCATGGATTCAGCTCACAGGTGCAGTTTTCATGTAGATCCTTGGGATCATCACTGAAGCTATGGAGTTCAGGCTTTGTGCAACAGTCAATAGACGGCCATTCTGTGGAGAAAGACCATGCCGTATATGTTAAAACAATAAAGTCAATCCCTCGACTTTAATCTTAAACGACTGAACTTTCAACAACATTTTACTGAATCTTTCCACAGGACCTGGGAGATGCTCAGTAACAGACAAGGTTTCAACATATTTCATCATCGAGGGAAGGCTTTATTTCAGCGAGCTCATGCCTGATTGGCGTCACAAAGTTTTATTTCTTCATTCCACCATTGTTAATTGGATCTTTGCCATTGTATTGTCACATCAAAATGGAATTATATTTTATGTAGCTGAGAAAGTGAAACATGTTTGTTGTGTACTGTACACAGACGGTATGATGTGTGTTTTGTTTGGCTTTGAATCCCTGTATGATAATAACAGTTTGTGTCTGGATGTTTAACATCGCCTAGCAAGTAATTGTTTTCCATACTGTCATAGAGTGTTGCACCCACTGCTATTTTAGGGCCAACAGAAGGCAAACCATTGCAGGCCATCATTGTTATCTCAAACAGCAGTTGATGCAATACTAGTCATGTGGAAGTATCAGTTATTTACTAGGTGGTTCTACATGTTCGGCCACCCACTAAAACTGTGGACGAAAGAAAATGGGGGGTAGGGGGGGGGGGGGGGATTTCTTGTGAATGCTCCTGTTGCTTTTCTTTGCTTCTTAGAGTGTTAACCAGTACAAGTTTGTTTATTTATTTATCCCGCTATATCATTGGCCTCAATAGTTACAAAGAGATATTTTGTGTGTTTTAAAGAAGAGGATGTGAACTTTAACCTATCTTATTTGTCACTGTATGTAAAGTTTGGATTATTAGTGTGGCGGGACCTCAGTAGTCTGGCTAGACGCTCATTTGCTTGTCCAAAAGTCCTGGGTTTGAATCTGCATCAGGTCTGATTTATTTTTTTAAAGTGGCCAGATTGACCCAGCCTAAAATGGGTACCATGAAATGTCCTGGGAAATAAAAGCAGCCAGCATTATGTTGACCATATCAGCCATTGAATGACGATTATGTAGATCTAGCAGTGTATGCCTGATGGCCAAGGCGTGAAAATGGTCCATTACTTACTTTACTGAATGTTGAATATTGAATTAATAATTGACATCACAGCATTCGGGACACTCCCATAAGTGCTCAGTCCCCATCTTCAGCAGCAAGCGAAGAGTTCCAATTCCGATGATATTAGCAACCCTCTTATTGTGTATCCATCTCATCCTTTCCCTGAGTGTTTAGCGTCGGCCAGATCCCCAGGTAACTCCTCAGAGTGTAATGATCTATCTGTGTTTCGGCACTGTTCACCCGTTCCCAAAGAGCCCTCACAATAACTTATCATACATCAGTTCACTACCAAGTGGTACAGAGCCGGCAAGTTTATCTGCCTGCTTGTTTTCCCAACACGCCGGCATGACCTGGAGACGATATCCAAAGGATGCTTCTTTACTATGGGGTCAGTAAAACAGGGCAACAGAACAGGCAGAGAATCTGCACATTGCAAGACTAATGCAACAGGTGTTGAGTATTGGTTTTGGAAGATGTTCAGCACTGATGGCGGGAAAACACAGGCAGATTTTTAATTGGGTTGCAGCTATTACTTTTAGCATGTTTCTCTTCGTTAGCCACTGAGGGAGGAGACGGAGCATGTTTGGGAATGTCCTGGGTGTGATGTTGTCAATTCTTGACTGATTGTTTGATTCATTCATTACTTTACTGTTATCATGTGTGGAGTAACCTTGAGAAATAGTGAGTCCCTTGGTGCTTTGTGGGTTATCATGTGTGGAGTAACCTTAAGAAATAGTGAGTCCCTTGGGGCTTTGTGGGTTATCATGTATGGAGTAACGTTAATAAATAGTGAGCCCCTTGGTGCTTTGAGGGTTATCATGTATTTAGTAACCTTAAGAAATAGTGAGTCCCTTGGTGCTTTGTGGGTTATCATGTATGGAGTAACCTTAAGAAATAGTGAGTCCCTTGGGGCTTTGTGGGTTATCATGTATGGAGTAACCTTAAGAAATAGTGAGTCCCTTGGGGCTTTGTAGGTTATCATGTATGGAGTAACCTTAAGAAATAGTGAGTCCCTTGGGGCTTTGTGGGTTATCATGTATGGAGTAACCTTAAGAAATAGTGAGTCCCTTGGGGCTTTGTGGGTTATCATGTATGGAGTAACCTTAAGAAATAGTGAGTCCCTTGGGGCTTTGTGGGTTATCATGTATGGAGTAACCTTAAGAAATAGTGAGTCCCTTGGGGCTTTGTGGGTTATCATGTGTGGAGTAACCTTAAGAAATAGTGAGTCTCTAGGTGCTTTGTGAGTTATCATGTGTGAAGTAGCCTTAAGAAATAGTGAGTCCCTTGGTGCTTTGTGGGTTATCATGTATGGAGTAACCTTAAGAAATAGTGAGTCCCTTGGGGCTTTATGTGTTGAATGAGACCAGAACCCAGTCCTGAGTCCCTGGTGATTGTATGAGATGGCAGACCATGACTACTGGTGCTAATCATTGTGACAAATTATGATTGTGAATGATTTGGCTGAGAGGGACAATGACAACAGGGTAAGAAAGGGTTAGAATAGTGATTCCCGGTAAGCTAGGATCTGGGGACCCACCTTAGTGTCGAAGGTGCTTCAGACCCCATGGTGTTTAATAGTCATACTTAAGACATTATAATTAGTAACTATTAGAATCTCACAAAAGTTTGCAGTCTAAAGTTGAGTTTTTGTATGTGTGCATAAATTATGTTTTTGTATGTGTGCATAAATTATGTTTTTGTATGTGTGCATAAATTATGTTTTTGTATGTGTGCATAAATTATGTTTTTGTATGTGTGCATAAATTATGTTTTTGTATGTGTGCATAAACGATGTTTTTGTATGTGTGCATAAATGGGGTTCTTTGACCACCAGCTGGGAAAGACTGGTTTAGAACAACTGGGTTATCACATCTCATCCAGGAGATCAACAATCATCAGCTTAGTTGTAGATATAAACCTACCATGATAGAGTGCAGACCGGTCAACAAGGATGAAGACAAGATTGAGGTGTCATCAGAAATCATCAGTAAAGTAAAATATTCACCGTATAAACAAAGTGTTGTGTGATTCTTGGTTGCCAGAAATTGTTCTTTCCTTTTTCATTCACCAGCTGTAAACGTTGGTGGAAAGTTCTGGTTGTTCATCCCCTTCTGGTATTGTTTCACAGCTTTAGTTTTGCCTGCACATCTGTTTTACAGATGTGGCTTAGTGGTTGGCAGACTTGATTCTTCCATGCAGATCATTTAAAAGGAAACATTCTTCAGTATTGGCTTTTATCGTCATGAATCATTTGTTGAACTTCTGATTCTGTAGCACCTTCTGGCCAGTCCCTGCGCTCACGCTCCAGTGTGATCAGTACCATAGTCTGACTTTTGCTGGGACATTCTGATCCACTCCTCTTCTTGCACAATGTTATCAAGCTTACACACATGCCTAATTGTGTCTTCAGCTTGTGCCATCCAAGACTTCCTCTTTTCAGTCTGTGAACCTTAGCTCTGTCTAGAGCTTCATGCATGAGGTGTTTCTTATCTGCTGCTACTCTTAGAAATGACTTTGCTTGCAGCACTTTAAGCCTATCTATGATAGTCGGCAGTGCAAGTATATGTCGCATACCTACTCCAGAGGTATCTCTTGTATATCCCAGAGTTACCCTCATGTCTTCAGTCTGTATGCATTCAAGTGTCATCAGCTGACACTTTGCTATGGCAAGCATTCCAAGCCCATAATCTATCACCGACAGGATCGAATGCTGGAAAATTGTGAACAACATTCTTTGTTCCATATCCATTGTTGCCATAACCTTAAGTTATACATAAAACCACTTAACTGAAGAGTCTCTGAGAGAAATGAGCATGTCTATTGAAACCTAATCCAGTGCTCTTGGAGTCAAATGCGGACAAATTGCTTTATCAAAAAACACCACACTGGGTTATATATAATTTGGTGTTGACCGTCAGTGGTGGGTCACATTGAAGACACAGGGGTGTTCTAACAGAAAATATTTTATGATGAACTACAGAACGGGCAAAGACCTACATGAGGCCGGGAAGAAAATGCTATGATGACACTCTTCTTCTTTTACTACCACTACTACCGCATTGGCAAGATGTGTTGTGGTTTACAGCTTAGCTAAAATATTTGCTCCTTTCGGCCCAAAATATTCTTAATTAGTAGTTTTATACAACATTCATGTTGGGGGACAGTGAGTCCAGTGCTTTTTTCTTGACCAAAGATACCAGGAGTAGATAAATGCCTATGAGTGGAACAAGCAGTATTCAGAAAGGGCAGAGGAACAAATGAGCACATCTTCGCCATATGTAACATTTTAGAACAATGCAATGAATTGCAGAGAAGAATATACATACATTTTGTGGACTTTGAGAAAGCTTTTGACAGCGTCCATAGAGACGGACTATGGAAAATTTTACGACAATTTGGAATTCCAGAAATATAGTCAACATAATTGCTCTCATCTATAAAGACTTTTCCTGCATTATAAAAAATTACAATACATCGATCACAGTAAAGACAGGGATGTGTTATGTCATCACTCCTCTTCAACCTTGTGATTGATTGGATACTAAAGAACACAGTAGACATGACATTGAGAGGCATACGATGGACTCCATTCACCATGCTTGAGGACCTTGATTTTGCAGATGATATAGCACTCCTATCACATAAACATGAACATATGCAAGAAAAAAGTAACAGACTACACAGCACAGCAGAAATGGTGGGACTGAGAATAAATGCAAAGAAAACTAAGATCATGACACGCAGTCCAAACCAACAACCAGTGACCATAAATAACCAAACTCTTGAAAATGTAGAACATATCTTGGCAGTGTGGTGTCCCTACCGGGAGGGCCGAAGAGGACATACAGTCACGTCTGAACAAAGCTAGAGCTGCTTTTGGAAGGATGAGGCAAATCTGGAACAATTACTGCAGAGGAACGAAACTCCGACTCTACAAGAGTATCATTTTGCCAGTTCTTCTTTATGGAGCGGAATGCTGGAGAATGACCAAAAAGGATGCACACAAGCTGTCCACCTTCCACCACACATGTCTACGTAGAATTATCAAAATTTTCTGGCCAGATACAATCTCAAACACTAAAATACTTCGAGTCACAAACCAAGAAACTTTAGACAGTATGATTATCAAGAAAAGATGGAAATGGCTTGGTCACGTTATGAGAATGAATTCTGATATACCTGCCAAAACAGCTCTCACATGGACACCAGAGGGAATGAGAAAACAAGGGCGCCCAAAAACAACATGAAGACGAATGATGGAAAGTGACTTGAGTGCGGCACCTTTGACATGGAAAACTGCACTGAATATTGCACAGGACAGGAAAGCATGGAAAGTCCTTTTTGAAGCGTCATGTGCACATAGGCATAACGAGAACTGATGACTGACTGATGAAAGATACCAGTACTCACCACAAAGTGTCTCAGAAAGGTGCCGGTACTCACCCCAAAGTGTCGAAGAAAGTTCTGAGAGGATCTATACCCCCCCCCCCCCCCCCGAATCCCACCCACACTGGGAGCAGAGCGTCTTAAACAGCACAAAAACTAATTAGTTGAAATGACAATTCACAATGATCTACCAGGCGCTTGAACACGCGAGAGAGATAGAGATAGAGAAAGAGAGAGAGTCATTGATCTGAATGTTGTTATTAGTGCTAAATATCCATCGGGAAAGCAAAGACTAGCAACACTAACAAATCCTGCATTGCAGACAATTGGGCCGGGTCCATCTGAGAGCCAACGTCATGTTTGATGAAAATCTGACTCGATGCGGATTTGAAATTAGGACCTTCGGATCCACAGGCAAGCATTGAGACAATTATGGTTGGTTGGTGTAAGCCTGGATATGTTTGTCGTTGAAACCCAGCAGGACCGTACACCGAACTACCAACCCCTGGTGGCACAAAGTGCCACCATTCAGACGAGGATCACCCGGGCATAAGTTTCAGAAACCCTGTTTAACTGTTAGGTTATATTAGGGCCCTGGCTAAAGCCGGGGTGGGGCTTTAAAATAACGAAAAATTGCGTTACACATTTGGACGGGATTCTACCTAGCATAATGTAAGCCTGGATATGGTGAACCCAGTATATGTATAATAATTGAATCGGTTGGTAGATAGATGGATAGACAGTTGAATTAAGAATCAACATCACAGCACTAGGGAGACCCCCATAAGTGCTCAGTCCCCCTCTTCAACAGCAAGCGAATAGTTTCAGTTCCTATGGTACCAGTTACCGTCTGATTGTATATCCGTCTCATCCTTCTCCCGAGTGTTGAGCGTCGGCCAGATTCCCTGGTAACTCCTCGCAGCGCCATTCTCCTTAGACCGTAATGATCTATTTGCGCCTCTGCACTGTTTACTTGTTTCAAAAGGGCCCTCACAGTAGATGAATAGATAGATAGGCAGAGGCACTAGGCAGGTAATTAGATAGAGGCATTACGTAGATTAGCAGATAGATAGAAGCATTATACACGTAAGATGGGTAGAGGCATTAGGTAGATAAGTAGATAGATAGACAATTGTGCAGTCATCCCCGAAAGTGTCAGAACGTTATTTTTATCTCCATCACGTGATCTCTGTGTATGAGAAGATGGCCACTGAAATCTCACAAGAAGAACGGGCCCAGGGAAATATCAGAAAACCCGTGCTTCTAAACAAAATCGAAGGATGCCCGGACACAATAAATATGGCAATTGTCATCCCAAAAGAGGACGGAGTGATTAGTGTCAGCGACGACAAGTAAGTCATTTCCTTTACAGTGCAGTTCTTGAGAGATCCGTTTGTGTTCAGTATTAGGCGGATGTGGGAGGGTTCTCTCTGACTCTGTGATCTAACGGATTTTAAAAAAGAAAAAAAAAAACAAATAATCACAATACTGGTCCGCATTTTCCCATTGTATCATTTGTACACAATTGTTTTTTTTTAATCCCTTTATTGATTTTCTTTAAAAGAAAAGATAGTTTTACGGTAAACAGAGCCATTATGTCGTGTTTACTAGATAAAACTCAACAACGAACAAAGGCAAAACAATCCTTGCAACGGCGACCCTAGGAGACGCTATCTGTTGTAGTAGAGTAGATTTTTACTCCACCAGGACACCACACAAGCGATAAACACCCGATGACACATAGTGCCACCATGTGGATGAGGATCACTCGTGGAGAGGTCCAAGAAACTGCGTTCAGCCATTAGACCATATTTATGGTCTGGCTATTTTGAGGCCTCTGGCGAGAGCCAGGGTGGGGCTTAAAAAAAATTGATCAAACATTGCATCTCACAAGGATTTAGCAGGATTAATAGTTCACAATCTGTTGTAAGTTTACATTACTGTAAATGCCAATCCCAGGGGATGTAATGCATTGTTTGTGTAAGTTCACAGGCTATCCTCTGAATAACGGTCACAAAAAACGTCCTCAGTCACATGTCAATTGCGCACCTCTGACAACTTTATTTGCAAACTTCTGGCGAGTACCGCCACCGCCAAGAGTATCTCCACGCCGCTCACGCATCGTGGGGGATACTCTTGGCGGTGGCGGTACTTGCCGGGAGTTTGCAATTGACACGTGACTGAGGCTCTGTTAGGTGTTTTTTTGCGGCCGCCATAATATGTGCCGGTTATTCAGAGGATAGCCAGTTCACATATTACTAATATTATTTCATATTCAGTATTGTTTGAGATTAAAGTTAATGATAGAGTTAGTGCTAACACTAACCCAAGCACTAACTCTAAACCAAACCCTTACCCGAACCATAATCTCAAACATTATTAAATATGAAAGAGTGTTATTATGTCAGTGTACAAACAGTGGATTGTCTCCCTCTCAGTCGCTTTAAACAACCATTGATTGCATCCTCTAGGAGGCTTGCCGTTTCAGGGATTGCCAAAGATTATTTTAATATTTAAAAAAATAAAAAAAAAATTCTCAAGCGGTCTGCACACACACAAAAAAGAGAGAAAATTATTTTTTAAAAATAAAAAAGATTATTTTAATACTTAATTTATTGTGAATGGTAACACAACGAAAAACCAAAAATAGAAAGCCAAACTTGTCGGCTTTACTTCTACAGAAACACCACAAAAAGTGAGAGATTGGATATTACGGCTAGAAAGCCTTCATTAGCAAAGCCTAACTCAAGCAGTTACTGACTTTGATATCTGAAGTTGTTGGGCATTTAAATATTCTGTGCCGATGCATTCAGATTTGGGTGACCAGTTTCCGTCTTTACTGTCTCATCCTTCCAGACAAATCTTAAGATATTAATCCTCTGAGAAGCCTAACGAATGTGGTAGGGGGGGGGGGGAGGGAGGAAACACACAGAGGAACATTAAATATGTTGGCAGCAGCCTGTGTCGTCAAAAACTACAACAAAAATGTGGAGAGTTATGAGGTAGCTATAGTGGGTTGGTGTGAGCCTATATTGGGTAGATAAGTTCGTTGATACATAGTCTATGATATGTATAATAATTGGATCAGTATATATATATATATATATATATATATATATATATATATATATATATATATATATATATATATATATATATATATATATATATATATATATATATATATGTATGTGTATGTATACATCAATGAATAGATAGATAATGTCGCGTCAACCCCCTTTATCTTTATCTTTTTTTTCCCAAACCCCACTTTCTATTCTTCTTCTGCCTTTGTATCCCCCAATGAAGCATAGGCCCTCAACCAACTCACGCCAAGTCGTTCTATCCTTCGCCATTGCATGGAGCTCTCCCCATGTCCTCCCCATCTTTCTAACTTCATTCACCAGCTCTCTTCTCCATGTGTTTTTTTGCCTTCCTTTATTTCTATGCCCCTGTGGGTTCCAGTGCAAAGACATCCCACCACTTTCTATACCCATGAAAAATTCACTTGCACAGCCCACAGTGTTATTTATGCCAGCAGCTGCAGAGGGTGTGTCATAAAATACACTATTGAGACAGATTTGTTCTTGGCTGTCAGATTTGGCAGCATCTTTGGAACATCAGCAGTAGTGTCCATCAGACTCCCTATACATTTTATCAGTGTGGATCTCGTTGATAGTTCTATCCACACCGCAGCTGTTAAATTGTGCACACCCCACAAAAGAGGTAATAAAACTGGAAAACTATCTAATTTTGTTCAGTGGTGGTCTCTTTTGCGACACTGGTAGTCTCTTTTGCGTCACTGTCTAAATGACCAACAATTTCATTAAAACAGTTTTTTATAACTTTTTGTTAACCTGATCGCTCCCTCTTCTGTGTACTCCCTATATGTGTTCCTCTAATTTCGTTGCTCTGTATCCACCCCTCTTGAGCGTTCCAAGTTTAGACTGACCTTTCTCACTCTAACATTGACACTTAATTTGCTGTCAGTGTCACTTCCTGCCAGACGGCCTACAGAGCTCATAGCCTAAAATTTAATTGGGGAGGGGGACGGGGGTGGGATCTGTGCAATACCAAACTACTGCACAAAACATGCTGGGTTTGGTTTTGCAACGTCCTGTATTAGGTATGAAAATAACCTTTTTTTCCCCCCACCGTGTTGTTTCCAGCACCAGTACTTTACAAATGATGTGATTGTTTATCAGTTCAGCACAATTGCTTTACAAATGATGTGATTGTTTATCAGTTCAGCACCAGTACTTTACAAATGATGTGATTGTTTATCAGTTCAGCACAATTGCTTTACAAATGATGTGATTGTTTATCAGTTCAGCACCAGTACTTTACAAATGATGTGATTGTTTATCAGTTCAGCACCAGTGCTTTACAAATGATGTGATTGTTTATCAGTTCAGTACAACTACTTTACAAATGATGTGATTGTTTATCAGTTCAGCACCAGTACTTTACAAATGATGTGATTGTTTATCAGTTCATGTTAATAGGTTACACTTTTGAAATTTCAAAATGTCATTACCATCCCTTGGTCCTCTAATGTGAAACCACTGCTACCAAAAATGTTATGTGTGATTTTCATATTATGTGATTGTATTGGTCATTTCATTGTTAGATAATTCAGTCATGTGATTGTTAGTTTGCCCATTCATCTGATTATTACTTTGGTCAATAATTTGTTACTTTCTGCAATAATTTCATAGTATGTTTGTAAGTTTCTTAAGTCAAGTCATTGTTAATTTATCTTATGCAGGACCCTACGGGTGTGGTTAAAACGAGATTCTGGGCAGTATTGGCCAAGCATCTGTCACTCAATGCCTGGTAAGACAGCCAGTTTCCACCACTTCATCTCTTCTCACAGTGTGTCCAGTATATTTTGTCCAGGTGATGCGGGTGTGCTGGGAAATGAGCAGGCAGACTGGCTGGCTCTGCAACACTTGGTGGTGAATTGATGTAGGACAAGTTAGATATTGTGAGGGCCCTTTGGGAGCAAGTGAACAGTGAAGAGGCACAGATAGATCATTATGGTCTAAGGAGAATGGCTCTGCGAGAAATTACCAGGGGAATCTGGTCGACGCTCAACACTCAGGGGAAGGATGAGATGGATATACAATCAGACGGCTACTGGTACCATCAGAGTTGGAACTCTTCGCTTGCTGCTGAAGATGGGGACTGAGCACTTATGGGAGTGTCCTGATTGCTGTGATGTCGATTCTTAATTCAGCTTTGGCAGTGTGTCCATTATAGTGCCACCTTCTCTGTTTTATAACTGGTAATACAAGTGGTTGGCCAGACTTGTCTCCTAATATCATCTGTGAAACTACTTTTGTACTGGAAGCTTGGGGGGAGGGGGGGTGGTATGTGTGCTATCTACCCTACTTTTCATAATATACATTGACAGTAATACATAGAAAGAAAAGAAGACATCAGAGAAGAAGATATTTCAGGATTCAATATGTATTTACAACCATTGTACATCTTTCCCCATGCAACTACCTTTACCCTTTTGAGTCTGCCTTATTTACAACAAGGGTACATTACAAAAAACTCCCTATGCCTCTCTTTCCCTCTAACTTTTCCTGTTGTTGTGGTGTACTCCAGTTTTCCTTTTCTCATAACATGCCAAACGCTTGCCTGTGGATACGAAGGTCCTGAGTTCAAATCCGCATCGAGTCATATTTTCATCAGACATGACTTTGGCTCCCAGGTCGACCCGGCTTAAAATGGGTACTAGGAGGAGTTATGGGAAGTAAGCTGCGGATTGCATTTGGAATGTTTTTTCGACTGTGACCAACGTGGTGTGAATTGTAGATTCAGAAAATGGCGCGATGCCGGTCGTCAATGTTGGCGGTGCCCGTGTGTGATTACAATTGATCGCGTGGGAAACTGCTGATCTGTTGGCGACAAGTTCTGCTATCATCAATGATGAACTGCATTTCTAATGTTGGACTGTTTGTGTTAGCACTTCGGATGGCTACCATATGCTTTAATGCGAGTGTATGCTAGATATGCTGAGACAGCAGTCTGTCAATCTTTCCACAAGGGACTGTGATAAACATTCTGGGTGTTTTTCGCTGGCACAGGAGCAGAGCAAAGATGGGGCGACCCGTTTGCTATGAAGCTGAAACTAAGACTACCAGACTACCAGACTACCATGGGAAGTAAAGGTGGCTGGTTTGGTGCTGACCACATCCCTCATGGTGTGCCAGTTGGTCTGTAATAGTATGAGGCTAGCATCATTGCCTGATGCGCCGCTGGTGAGAAGAAGGTTCCTTGACTTGACTGACAAAGGAATGTTATATATATATTTAATCACCAAACAGACAATGTATTGATTTGTTTTAAATGAAATTAACCTTTTTACAGAGAATCATTAACACTTAAACTTGTTTTCCATCATCAGAATAACCTCTTAACAGTGAATCATTAAAACGTTGACTTGTTTTCTTTGAAAATAGCTTTTTTAACAGAGAATCATGAAAGCTGTAACTTGTTTTAAATGAAAATAACCTTTCAACAGAGAATTGTTAAAACTCTCTTCAACGTGTTTATTTCTGATTTCAGCTGAAGCATCATGTGTGGATTACAACAAAGAAACACGGCTGCTGTTTGTGGGTCAAGATAGCGGATCAGTCACAGTAATATTTATAGAAATTTTCATGTTTATTTCTCAGTAGAGCTGCCACATCTTAACTTGTAAAGATAAAGATCTAGACAGACCCAAACATGATTTTTGAACAGTAGGTTTTGAAGTTTGAGGTTTTGAACAACGGATCCAACATCATGGCACATGGGTGTAACCCATAAGTGCTCTGTTCTTCTTCTAACTCAAGTCTGAGTGCCAAGAAGTTCAGCACAGTGCACAGGCTCTGTAGCACCGACAAGGATCCTACAATATTTAGGTAGATTTTTAACTCAAAATTTTGCCCGGGCAGCAGTGTCACAACCGTCTCCACATGGTCCTTAAAAGATAGGCTCCTGTCAAATGTGATTCCCAGATACTTCAGTTTGAATCCATATGTTGAATATATTGAATCCATATTTGCCCCATGAGGATCCTGTTGTGTTTGAATCTGTATTTGCTCCATTAGAATCCTATTATGTTTGAATCTGTCTTTGCTCCATTAGGATCCTGATGTGTTTGAATATTCATTTGCTCTATAAGGATCCTGTTGTGTTTGAATCTATATTTGTTCTATTAGGATCATATTGTGTTTGAATCCATATTTGCTCCATTAGGATCCTGTTGTGTTTAAATATGTATTTACTCCATGAGGATCTTGTTGTGTTTGAATCTGTATTTGCTCCATGAGGATCTTATTGTGTTTGAATCTGTATTTGCTCCATGAGGATCTTATTGTGTTTGAATCTGTATTTGCTCCATGAGGATCTTATTGTGTTTGAATCTGTATTTGCTCCATGAGGATCTTATTGTGTTTGAATCTGTATTTGCTCCATGAGGATTTTATTGTGTTTGAATCTGTATTTACTCCATGAGGATCTTATTGTGTTTGAATCTGTATTTGCTCCATGAGGATCTTATTGTGTTTGAATCTGTATTTGCTCCATGAGGATCTTATTGTGTTTGAATCTGTATTTGCCCCATTAGGATCCCATTGTGTTTGAATCTGTATTTGCCCCATTAGGATCCTGTTGTGTTTGAGTGTATTTGCTCCATTAGGATCCTGTTGTGTTTGAGTGTATTTGCTCTACAAGGATCCTGTTGTGTTTAAATCTGTATTTGCTCCATGAGGATCTTTTTCTGTTTGAATCTGTATTTGCCCCATTAGAATCCTGTTGTGTTTGAATCTGTATTTGCCCCATTAGGATCCTGTTGTGTTTGAATCTGTATTTGCTTGTGTTTGAATCTGTATTTGCTCCATGAGGATATTATTGTGTTTGAATCTGTATTTGCTCCATGAGGATCTTATTGTGTTTGAATCTGTATTTGCTCCATGAGGATCATGTTGTGTTTGAATCTGTATTTGCCCCATTAGGATCCCATTGTGTTTGAATCTGTATTTGCCCCATTAGTATCCTGTTGTGTTTGAGTGTATTTGCTCCATTAGGATCCTGTTGTGTTTGAGTGTATTTGCTCTACAAGGATCCTGTTGTGTTTAAATCTGTATTTGCTCCATGAGGATCTTTTTGTGTTTGAATCTGTATTTGCCCCATTAGAATCCTGTTGTGTTTGAATCTGTATTTGCCCCATTAGGATCCTGTTGTGTTTGAGTGTATTTGCCCCATTAGGATCCTTTTGTGTTGGAATCTGTATTTTGACAATTTAAAAAAAAATTGTTCTTAGGCTCCCTAGTCAACCCAGCCTAAACTTTGCAACAGGAGGTGTCCTGGGAAGTAAAGGAACCCAGCATAATGTTGACCATATCAATCATTGAGGGCTGATCAGTCTGTAAAAATATGAGTCTGCATCATATGCCCAAGGCATGAAAATGGTCCATTTCTTTTATTATTTTTTTTCAACAGATATAATTCGGATGATTTTAATGATTTGGTATTATTTCTCATAAATATTTTCTTTGTCTACAGGAGTTCGAACTGACAGAGGATTACAACAGACTACTTCATCGCAGAGATTATGTTGGTATGAGGTTATTTTAAATATTGTACCTATGTTTGCTAGTTTTAATCATATATATTAAAAGTATTTTAAAAAATAGTTCTTCTTTTTATAGTTCATGCTGTTTGGTGTTGGCAGTCATGTCTATCCACAACCTTCTGTCTCTGGTACTTTAAATCGGTTCTGACATACATGATCTTCCATGCCATGATGTCAGGCTGTCCAGAATCTTCTGTTGGTCACCCACCACCTCTTTTCTCCCTTCAACATGACCAAAGAATGTAGACTGCCTCCTTCTGCTGTGGGCAGGCAGTTCTCTCTTTTAAGAATAAATAATCCCAATCAGTTGGTATGCCCAGTTAGAGAGAATACCTTGTGGCGATATGGGGGTATAATAGAGGTCTATAGTAGTTAAACTTCCCTAATCATGACAGCGTCCGCAGTCTCAAAAAATGTTGGCTCGGGAAGATTATGAAACTAGGGGAACGGCCCCATGTATAAGAGACTGTGACGTGGTCATGTGACAGGAGTCAGAAAAGTAAAACTAGCTCTGCATGTAGAAAGCTCAGGCTAGTCTAGTCATTCTGTCGCACACACTCCTATCAGTAGATACTTGAGCACCCGGAAAGATAAGTAAGGAAAGGATGAGAAAAGTTTCTTTCAAACTCTTTCTCTCCAAGCCCACTCTCACCGTAGTAAACGAGACTAGACGAGGTGGGTAAACAGATATATCATACACTGTATTCAGTACTAGGATAATATGTGATTGGCAAAAAAATAAAAGTTTTCTTCCTCGGTGAGGAGTTAGTTGGCGTAGGCAGATTCAGGCTCGTGGGTTAACACAGTCACCTGATGTGTCTGGTAGATGACAGTCTTCAGTGATTCGGTCTGCCGTCTGGTTGCTCCTAGCGAATGGGAAATATATTCCAGGCTTGGGTGCCAAAACATTAATTATAGACCAAGGCCCTTAAAATTTCACTCAAAGTGGTTAACAGTTTAAAGTTTTCATAGAGTCTCTCCTGGACTAGTTATAGAAAACAACTTGCCATCTGGTGGCTTATACTACACAATTGTAGATCTTCCTTCCACTTTGTGGTGGGTATGATGTGGCACATTCGGGCTGGAACGAGACAAGAGCAAAACAACCACTTGTGAGAGTGTGCCTCTAAAACGCCTGGCTCCTATACATAATAATTAACTAACTTCCATCACCTCAGCTTCTGACAACTCTGTACATTTGGGTTGTTCCATCGCCTCATATCTGAATCTCATGATTTTATATTTTATTGTCACTAACCATGTGACTGGGTTAAGAAGTCCCTGCCCTGGTTATGACAAGCATGACAATTCATACATACATACATATATATATATATATATCCACCTATGTGGTTCAATCCATTTATATCTTTCAATCCCCCCAGTGGGGTTCAATCCATTTATATCTTTCTAAGTTACACTCCCACTCATGTGATTTAATCCATTCACAAATTACAATCCCCCCATTTGGTTTAATACGATCACCAATTACAGTTCCACCCATGGGGTTTAATACATTCACACATTACCATCTCACCCACATGTGGTTTAATACATTCACAAATTACCATCCCACCCACATGTGGTTTAATACTTTCACCAAGTAAATCACACCCACGTGGTTAAATACATTCCCAAGTTTATAGTCATACATCATTCTCCAAAGATCCATTAGTTCCCCAATTACCCTAGGTTCTCTTAAGAATATCAATTACTTAAGTTGAAATAAAATAATTCCCCCAAATCTAAGCACTTACGCTTAGAAGGCAATTATCGATAATGGTAGCATTGAATCCAATTATACACATTTCAATGCTTTATAAAATACATGTACATATCAAAATAAAGATAACAATTGTACAAAAGACAGCATCTAAGATCCATAATCTCTTACCCCCATGTCTGAATATAAAACACCCTTAAAACTCGCGAGATTGTACCTGATGTTAATGGCTACAAATCTCCAAAATTACTGCGTCTTCTGCCCACGGCTGATGAGAAGGGCAGAAGTGAGGTTTTCCGGAAATGAGATCCTATGTGCTTCTTCCGGTGGGCATGACGTCGGTTCTAAATCAGGGCTATACACGCACATATCATTACGTGAGACTCCGTATATAGTGACTATCGTTGCTATGATGCCATTCCTGTGTCCCCTCTAGTCTGCTGCAACTGGGAATACCCCGTCGGTATGTTCATTGGTACCAAACTTAGAAAGCCGGTCCGTGATTATCACGTTACTATTGTGTCATTTCATAGACGCTAGTCCAATCTTTTGTGCATACTGCACTTGCGTGAATACTATGGCGTCATTTGCTTACATGCACTGCCGATAGTTATGTACGCTTGTGTTGGGCCGAGCTATGTTCCACGCGATAGAGTGGCTTTCTATGGTGCACCACTGCCATTTCGTGATAGGGGCCCCACTATACAAGGCATACACCAAAAGCAGACAAGGATGTAGAGAACAGGGTAGACCAAGAACAAGATGGAAATATAACATCAAGAGAAACTCTGCAACAGCACAACGTGTTTGGTTAAAGCAGTCAGAAGAGCAAGAAGCAGAACCTTGTATCTCCTTCCACACCTGAAATGATAAACAAGTAAGTGAAGAAGAAGAAGAAGAAAAAGATCAGACATGCAGAAGGAAAGGCTTGGGACCCAAACTGCTGAAAATCCATTACTAGCAATCTTCACTGAACATACCTCAGAAAGGATGATATTGATGATTTCTTCTAGAATTAAGCCCAAAGAAGAAACAATGATAATGATGATTAGTTCTGGAGTTAAGTCCAAAGAAGAAACGATGATGATTTGTTCTGGAGTTGTCCAAAGAAGAAATGACGATTATGATGATTTGTTCTGGAGTTAAGTCCAAAGAAGAAACAATAATTATGATGATTTGTTCTGGAGTTAAGTCCAAAGAAGAAACTATTATAATGATGATCTTTTCTGGAGTTGTCCAAAGAAGAAACTATTATAATGATGATTTGTTCTGGAGTTGTCCAAAGAAGAAATGATGATTATGATGATTTGTTCTGGAGTTAAGTCCAAAGAAAAAATGATTATAATGTGTTGATAGAGAATGATGCGAGATACTGAGTGAGTTGTTTATTGATTGTTTATCTGACCTTTAGCACATCAAGGTCGAGTGACGGCTGTGAAGTTCTCGCTGTCCTGTGAGTGGCTCCTCACTTGCAGCAGAGATAAGTATTTCATGTGGCACTGCACGGAAACAGGCCGTCGCTTGTCCGGTTATCAGGCAACCACGATCTGTTTGTGTCTGGAGTATCCTTTCCAAGTGTTTTTGCTTGTGTAAATATTTGTATAACGATTAAAGGGTCAAACCACTTGGGACAAAAATACCAGTAAGTGGGTTACTGTCCTTATATTACTGGAACCTGTAAGGGAATCAGAGAGTAGTAACACGACATGTTTACCCTCTTGTCCTGAGAAGGACTAATCCCGGTACTTACAGTTTGTGCCATGGCCCCATAGTAGTCCCTTTCCCAGTTTGCTTTAGAGGCTTGTTTATGAGGGGCCTTGCTAACATCATTGCTTCTGGTTTTTTCCTGTGCAACTTTTAAAAATAATCAGAAATGAGCACAGTTGCTTAAAATAGCATTTAGATGGGGGTTTCCTTTAGGAAAACAGCTTTCTTCATTGAAATTAGGACACATTAATTTCCCATTAGTCACAAAGGTAATTGGCATCCGGGTCACAGGGTCAAGAGTGGGGTCACACTAACATTTTGTTTAAAGCTCTGAAATTTAACCCAATTAATTCTCTGCCACATTTTTATTTATAGATTAGATCAGGCAGTCAGCTTGTCCTTTGCAGAACGCTGCTGTTTTCATGGCACGCCTGAAATTCTCTCTTTCTCTAGCCAGTTCTCCAGCCCTGTGTGCTTTCAAAACCAGTGCATCATCAGTATCCCGTATCCACCTTCGCGGATGTCCACCTCTGCCTCTTGTTCCAGAAACTGTATCCTTCCTCACCGCTCTGTCCAGACCACTGTGGCGATTGTCATGACCCAAAAGCCTCAGCTTTTGAGAGAGGATGGTGTTTGTGAACCCTATCTTTTTGATGTTAAGGTTGTGCAGGATGTTGACGTTTTTCTTTGGTATTCTACACAGTTTTTTTGATTACTTTCGTTATTTTGTATGCAGCTAAAAATTGGTTTGCTCCATAAATGGAATAATTATGATTTTTGTGTGTAACCTGTAGAAATTATTTTTTTTTTAAAAAGAAATGTTTTCTATAAATATGTGTCTTTGTCATTTTTTTTTTTAGGTCACTGGGGTTAAGAGCAAACTTTAATTATATCCTTACCCACCCAGGGCTGCAGGTTAAACCAGCCTCTTGTTGCCATTTTGAGTGCCCTAATGATATTTTTTTCTTTGGAGATTTAAAAGGTTATCTGGGATTGCCTTGATGGTCTGCTACCCAGGATGAGACTCTTAATGGGGTAATCAGATTTTGGACAGCAACCCGGAGGAGAACAACAGACAGATAGACATAAGACTGTAACATATCCTACTTAATAATAGAGATGACTACGGGGGGTTAGCATGAGATTGGATGATTTGTCTTGTAAAAAACTTTAGCTGTCTGCTTATCTATCTGTCCGTGTGTGGTTTTTGCTTGTATTTCAGTAGGTCTATATCCTGTGTCATTTTATCGTAATCTATGTCACTGCACATTGAGCATTCCCATGCATGCAACAGCCACTTCAAGGTAACTACTGATTATTCCCATGAGAGGTTGGTTGTGTTTCCTATCTTGGCCTTGAAGATGGCATAAATATGCTTCAGCAAGTTCTGCTCCCAGGTTATGCAATCTTGTTAGCCTCAGAGATTCATCATTGTCTGCCAGCCTAGTCTGTACAGCGTTGACCATATCAGCTCTATCCATGCTTCTTCCTGAATGCTTTCGTGTATTAGTTGCGCTGGTCGACTCGCTCATTACCTTTTATTCCTGCATATCCACGTGTGTAGATCCAGGAGATGGAGGTTAATTGTGACTTCCGAATGTTTTTTTAATCCATTCTGAGCATAGACTAACTGTTGTTTTTTCTGAGGCATGTTCATGGAGTCTGTTATGACTACTTCATGTATGGCTGCTTGCCCCTTTATGTGTAATCAACTGTAATTAGGATACACATTACTTATTAAGATTTAGAGAAGTAAAAGACCCATTTCTGTGCCATTAGGCATATGAAGTATATGGTGTTGGCTCTATATTCGATAGATTGGTTAGCAACAAGTGAAATAATCAGTATCACACCAGCCGCCTTTACTTTCTATAATAATTTCTTGTTACGTGTTAAATTTTCTTCTTCTTAGTGTTCAGTGGCTAAATTCAGGTAGAAAATTCTGGTTGTTCATCCATTTCTATACCTGCTTCATTCTTAGCTTTCACCGGCTATAAACTTGAGTGGAACATTCTGGTTGTTCATCCAGTTCTCTACCTATATCTAGTTCTAGAACGTTCTCCACAGGAGAGCTGTCTTTGCTAGCGTGTCATGAGGCATTCTGCAAAATTGTCCAAGCCATCTCCATCTTCTTCGTTTGATAAGATTTGCATTGTTACTTTTATCCTGAGTTCTTCCTTTTAGATTTTGTTTGACAAATAACTGAAAAATGCCCAGAAATTTCTTTAGTTCTTGAGGTGTAGCAACTGAAAGCTAGTCTGTCAGTCAGGCTGTCAGTCGGGGGTTACAGCTTCATCACAAATGGGCCACCCCATAAATGTTCCGTTCCAGTGCCAGTGTAAAACGTACAAAATACCCATCATTGTCCCATGTGAAAAGTCAGACAGACGGCAATTCTGGCAAAATCAGACTGCTTGGGCACGCTTCAAATGCGTAAGGCAGCTGCCAGACCTGCTGACACCTACAGTCTAAGAATGGAAAGATATCAAAGGAGTGCTTTAGAGGTTGATTTGTAGCTGTGGATAAATTACTAGACAATTCTGTAGGTTTGTTTGTGTACTGTATTATATATAACCAGGTAATACTTTTGCAGTTATTATGTATCACTTTTAATAAAACCGGGCAAACTTGAGTAGTTATGTAACATTTGAAATATAGCCAGGGAATGCTTTAGTGGTTGCTGTGTAGCGCGTAGCTTGCATCACTTGATAAGTCTCAGATCAGAAGTGTGTCATGAATTTTCTGTCCAGGATATTTGGATGTGCCAGGTAATCAGCAGACTGAGAGATTGGCTGCTGCTCCTCTTGACAGTGAGCTACTTTCTGATAAAGTCGACATGATTAAGACTCTCTGGGATCAAATGGACATTGCAATTGAACAGACAGTGAATCCATACACTGAAAGACTAATTCAGCGAGGAGTGAGAAGTTCTAGAAGATATTCACCACAGGGAAAGGAGAAGGATGGAACAGTTGGATTTTTAATCAGATTGCAACTGCTAATGTCAGCTTGTAGACTCTTTTTTGATTACTGAGGAAGAAGACAGATCATGTTTTTGAATATCTTGAGTGCAGTTATGTAAATTCTTGGTTCATTCATTCATTTTATGTAGCAATTGAAATTTAGACAAGAAAAACTTTAATGGTTAGTGTATAACAGTTAGAATATAACCAGGGAATACTTTAGTGGTAATTATTTAAATATTGCGCATCGGACGCACAAAATGGATTACTGTGGAATGTTTTAGTGATTTTTTTGTAACATTTGAGAGGTCAAACAACTGGGGCAAGTCTGTTTAACCAGAGAAAGTCTTTGGTGTTTAGTATTGCTTTTTTGATACATAGTAAATACTAGTATTTGCACTTAACTGATGGCAGATTTGATGAACAGTCTAAATATGCATTTGTAGGCGACTACTCGGGCCAGATCTCCGTTCTGAAGTTAAAAGACAACACCTTTGACCTTGTTACAACCTTGAAAGGACATGCAGGTGTGAATGTTGTGTTTTTTCTACTTTTGCGAGCATATTTTATTGTGCTGTTTTATTTTTACTACCATTTGTTATTGTTTGCTTTTGATCCTGCCTTTGTTGCACTTATGTGAGTATACATTTATAGGACTCTCTTTCTTCTGTTTGCGTGTGGATCGGAAGGTCGTAGGTTCGCTCCCTTACGGAGCCGGACTTAAAAAAAAAAGGACCTTATTCCCAAGTCGACTCAGCCTTGAGAGGGTACCGGGTACAGTCCATAGAAGTAAAGGTGGCTGGCGTGATGTTGACCACATCACCCATCTTGTGCTGATTGGTCTTTAAAAATAAAGGTCTAGCCCTATATGCCCTATACGCCTAAAGGTGCGGAAGAGGGTCCTTCACTTTTACTTTCTTTTGTTCTGGTTAGCATTTCTTATTTGTGTATATCCCTGTTTGGGTTCTGGAACCACATTTTGGTTGAAAAAAATGAATAGACCTGCTGCCCTCTAACAAGCATGTCACAAAAGGCCACTAATTAGGGATGTTTTCTTCAAGGTCGGAGTGCATCTGCCTGAGAGGCAAGGAACCAACAGTCTGCATACATATAAGCCAAATCTGTCATATGGTTGTGCATGCAAAACTCAGGTTTTAGGTGTGGGTCAGAACTGTCCATCTGGGTTTACAGCCAGTGAACATGAAGAAGAATACATCTGTCTATGGTTGTGTGTTTCTTCTTTTGTGTCTTTAATCTTCCTTCTTCTTGAAAGCCATGCATGTGACGTTGGTGGTCATGTCTATTCACAACCTTCTGTCTTGTGTACTTTCTTTCCACTCTGACAAAGACGATCCTTTATGCCATGATGTCAGGCTGTCAAACATCTTTTCTCTCTGTCTCCCTCTACCTCTCCTTCCTTCCAACTTTTCAACTGTCACGATGTGCTCCAGTTTTCTCCTTCTCACCACATGACCAAAGAATGTAGATTGTCTGTTTCTGATGTGTTAAATCAGTTCTCTTCATGAGTCAGTTTCTTTCAAGACATCCTCATTACTTTTTTAAAAATCTGTCCATGGTTTTCTCATCATCTGTCTATAAAACCACATCTTCCAGCAGAACATAAATCCTCAACCAACTCACGCCAAGCATTTGTAGACTTGTCCATCTTTGATTGGATTTTGCAGCTTAAGTTCTCTGTGGCATGAGATATCTAGCTGGTGGCCAACCCTTTTCTGTCACTTCTTAAGACACACATGCTAGACTGCAGTGTGACTATTCTGTACTTCCCTAATAGACCTGGTAACACATGAGCTGTTGTCCTGTGTGTATAAATCTGGTTCTGTTTTTCTGCATGTACTTTTGTGTGTGTGTGTGTGTGTTTTCATGCGTCTGTGTGTGTTTTCATGAGTGTGTGTGCACATTGTGAAAGACAGTTATTTATTCCCAGGCTTACATAGTGCTGTGTAGGATAGTGTCATTCAGGAATATTTTCTTAGTGACTCAGTGAGTAGGCTCAAGAAGATACACCTGGGTCCAAAGAGAGTGGCTGATGTCTCTGAGACAGTCACGGCTCACAAACAGAGATTAGTTTCATTTGTGTGTTAGGTGTACAAGAAAATTACATAACTGATAAGCTTGCAGGTAAGTACTTGGGGGGGAGGGGGGGGGGGGAGAGCGAAATGGATAAGCCATCGTCCAGGCTGATATACGGAATGCTCTGTGAGAAGTAAGACATTTGTGAGAACCAAGTGAGGGCTGGAAATCCACAACCATGGTCAAACTGCAAGAGCAGCAAGGTAAACAAGATGTGTTGAAACAAGAGCACTATGCAGGAAGCCAAAGAATAATAATAAACCTACACAAAACTGGTGTCGTCAGCTGCTACACACTGAGGGATTTATCAAGAAGGGGATCAGTACAGTTGTGGACAGAATGATTCAGTGTGTAATGAGGAAGATCTACAGACTAACTAACCTACAGGGTTGCATTTTATATCAACTCACTGTGTATTGTTTTAATTCTTTCATGCCATATTTTGTTTAGTTTATATAATTTAGCCCTTATATTTTGTATCTTATCTATATAGAATTTTAAAAATTTTAAAATTCTTTTCTATATAATTTTTCTTTCTTTTATCTTATCTATAGTTTTCTTTCTTTTATCTTATCTATATAGTTTTCTTTTATCTAATTTGTATAGTTTTCTTTCTTTTATCTCATTTATGTTAAATTTTATATTGTATCTCTTGTAAAAATAGTTTTCTTTCTTTCAATTTGGATCTCATAAATATAGTTTTCTTTCTTTCATGCAATCTTCATAGAGTATTCTTTCTTAGATTTTATCTGTACAATTATCTTTGATCTCGTCTATAAAGATGTTCTTTCTCTTATCTTATCTAGTTTTCTTTCTCTTATCTGATCTATGTTGTTTTTTCTTTTATTTAGTCTGTGTAGAGTTTTCTTTCTTTTATCATCTTATCTCTACTGTGTTGCGTTTTCTTTCTTTTATATGTATAGTTTTTTCTTCTATCTCATCTATGGTGATTTTGTTCTTTTACCTCATCTGTATAATTTCTTTAATTCATTTAAATTTGTTGTTTTAACAAATTAAGCACAATGAGCCAGGGTGACACAGGGTTTAGTAAAATAGTTATCATTATGAAGATCTGGGGATGGTCAATCTGCAGCAGAAACAGAAGTGGATCTGTCTCTTTGCTTAGTTGTCCAGCCTTGCAAAATGAGTAACCAAGAAGTTTCTGTGAAGACAGGTGTTACAGAAATGAGCTGTCATCGTGTTTCAGTTTGTCACAGTCTAGTACAGTCTTTCCCATTTAGTAGTTTGCGGAAAAAATTTAAATGGTTCTTGATATCCTTTACCAAACCCTGCCACAGTCTCTTGTGATTCTTCTTCTTCTTCGCATTCATTGGCTTTAAACTCTGGCAGAAATGTCTGGTTTTTCATCCACTTCATTCCTTTAGTCGTTTTCCCCAGAACTTTTTCATGCACATCCATTTGACAGATCTGCCCTTTTTTAAATGCACACTCTTGGTTCCTTGTCCAGATAGGGATTTTGCGAGTTCTAATATTTCATCATCATCATCAGTTCTCGTTATGCCTAGTGGCACATGAGGCTTCAGAGAGGACTTTCCATGCTTTCCTGTCCTGTGCAATCTTCAGTGCAGTTTTCCATGTCAAAGATGCCGCACTCAGGTCACTTTCCATCGTTCGTCTCCATGTTGTTTTTGGGCGCCCCTGTTTTCTCTTTCTCTCTGGTGTCGATGTGAGAGCTGTTTTGGTGGGTAAATCAGGATTCATTCTCATAACGTGGCCAAGCCATTTCCATCTTCTCTTGGTTATCATACTGTCTAAAGTTTCTTGGTTTGTGACTTGAAGTAGTTTAGTGTTTGAGATTGTATCTGGCCAGAAAGTTTTGATAATTCTGCGTAGACATGTGTGGTGAATATTTATAAATTATAATAAGTTCTTTGGTGTGACTATTAAGAAGTATGGAGTCCATGGCAGACCTTAAAAAATAAGATCTGAGCAAACTGGGAACCACTGTATTAGACAAAGTATCCTGCTGTTTTGATTAGCTTATCTTTACTTCATTAGTTATCCTTAGATGAGATGTTTGTATATACCTTCCCTCAGGCAGCATTCGTTGTCTGTCTTGGGATGCAGACAACCAGCTCTTGTTCAGTGGAAGTTTTGATCAGTCTGTTGTTGTCTGGGATATCGGTAGCAGAAAGGGGACAGCATTTGAACTTCAAGGTCACAAGTGAGTTAGCTTTCCTTGGCTGCAGATGTGGTTTTTATTTTTATTTTTAATTTTGTAAAACACAGTCTGTGCTAGTATTATTATTATTATTATTATTATTATTATTATTATTATTTAAATGTTCTATGTTTGAAGAATGTTATGAAATTTGTTATCATTTTATACTATCCTAAATGCACAAACAAAGCTGAGATATAATATTCAGCATAATCAGATAAGTAACACAAATTTATCTTTTTTTTTTAAAACTCAGCTTAACTTTTATGTGACTGTGTGATGCAGAAATTGGGTTAAAAATCGAATGGCAACAACAACTCACAGAGTTTAAAATTGGTACCAGACTTCACCTTAAGTTGGGTAGAGGAAAAGATGGCCAGAGTAAGAAAGAACCAGTCACTTCACACAATGTGTACTTTATATTTTTGCCTCATCCCCATCTGTGTTCTGAGGCCCATTTAGGAGGGCAGCAGTTGTGTGGTCTTCCCTTTGCTCTGTGTTTTATTGTGTTTCTTCAGAATGGCTCTCTGTGGAAGTTGGTGCTGAGGCATTTCCAACAGATACCAAAAACCATCTTGCCTATTGCTCTTTTAACTCTTTGAGTCCCAAGGAATGCATCATACGTTCATAGGTTCCTACCTAGAGAACCAATAAAAGCGAGATGCACCGATTTTACATCTCTTTTGACTACCCCTTAGGCCTGTGATGCTAAACCACTTGGGACTCAAAGAGTTAACAATTGTATGACTGGTTGGGGGTTTCTGTGGCAAAGTGGTCGGCCATTTGCTTCACGTTCTGAAGATCCTGGGTTCGTTCCATGACTGTTCCCTTCAATTACAGTGCAATTTTTATGAAGATCCCTGGGGATCATCACCAGAGCTACGGAGTACGTGCTGTGCACGGTGTTCCTGGCAGGCAGCTAGCCATTCTGCTGAGAGAGATTGAGCTATGTTGGATAAAACCCGGTGCAATGAAGTCGATCCTCTCAGCGTTAACCTTTAACCTTTGTATGACCGGTTTCACTCCTAGAGTCCTCTTCTAGTTTCTACTTTTCAATGCTATCTCTTCTTGTTACTTCAGCGGCTTTTCTAAGAAATCTCATCTCATCTCCATTATGATTGTTCACTCATTAGCACATTATACATCAATATTGAGAAGGAGACAAAGTTCTTTGGTCATGTGTTGAGAAAAGGAGCCGAGGAAAATATTGTGACATCTGGAAAGATCACTGGTAGAAGAGGCTGAGGCAGACCAAGAGAAATGATATTGGACGGCCTGAGACAGTGTCATGGAGGAATTTCATCAGTGGAAGTGATTTAGAACACCAAAGGCTAAGATCTATGGAGATGCATCAATGCCTACGCCAGCTGGCAAAGCACTTGATGATGATGATGTCAAGTGATTTATTTACCCCAGTCTGTAAATTCCCAGCACACACACACAGTCAGTATATAACATTTTTGACAGCAGAGTTTAGAATCCACATGACAGCTGTTGCGACATTGCCATAAGTGCTCTGTCCTCATCCTCAGTAGTTGGCGCTTTTATAGTTGAAAATGTGGTCTTTTGATAAACTACCTAAAAAGCTGCCTGGTAAGCTTTCTTAAGTGAATTTATTCACCTACCAGGGAGAAAGTTCAAGGTCTAGCATACGCCAAGACGTCTCACCAACTCTTGACTGGTTCTGATGATGGAATTCTGGGAATTTGGGACATGGAAGTGAAGAGACTAGAGGTTAGTTTAAAATGTTATAAAGTATGTCGTACACGTATGTCTTATGGGATGTATTTCAATTACAGACAAATATGTTGTACAGACATATTTGCTTAAAATATCTGAGCAGACACGCCATACAGACGGAATAGAATAAACAAAATGATGTGCTCTCCGCAATAAAGGTTGCCTACACACCACCCACTCTGCCTTTGGGAATATTACACAGTGAGGCCATAATCTTTTCCACAGTGCAACTCTCGTCCAAAAACTACCAAAGTATTTGTTAAAAAAACAAAAAACTATTCTCCTTGGAAATTAAATCATAGTACTTGAGAATCATGAAGTTGTTAAACACGTTCATTAACCTCCAAGCCATGTAGCCACACAGACAGAATAGATGGAGACTTAAAAACTAAAGACAGATTTATTAATGGAGAAACATATGGAGGCTGTAGGAGAGGGCAAAAGATGGCAGAGCTAACAGTTTTTGTTCCATTAGAAGGTAAAAGACAGAACAGTAAAATATTGTTGCCACACCACCACTACCAGAAACTGAAATAAAGTAAAGGTCCCTTTTCCACGCCTTCAGGTGTGTTGGGTATATAGGGCCAAACCTATATTTTTATAGACCAATTGTCACTTGGTGGGTGATGTGGTCAGCATCACGCTGGCCGCCTTTACTTCCCAGGACTGCACCTGGTGCCTACTCAAGGCTGGGTCAACCTGGGAGTCAAGGTCATTTTTGAAAAAAAAAAAAAAAAAAAAAAAAGGACGGCTCCATCAGGACGTGAACCCATGACCTTCCGATCTGCAGACAGGCATCTAGCCGCCAACACGCCTGCAACTCCCCCACCAGAAAGTAATCAACAGTCCCTGTGTCGGTTCGGGGGCCCTATTATGGGGGGAAAAAAAGAATAGACCCACTGCCTACCCAAAAGCATGTCATAAGAGTCAACTAATTGGGAGCTTCCTTCGAAGTCGGAGTGCATCTGCCTGAGAGGCAAGAAACCAGCAGTCTGCATACAAATGAGTCAGATCTGTAAAACAGATGCACACGAAACACTCAGGTTCTGGAACAGGACTGCAGTCCAGAAGTGGATGAACAACCAGAACTCTCCGCCAGAGTTTACAACTGGTGAACGTGAAGAAGAAGAACACCACAGAAAACAGTATCACTGTGTGTTTGTGTATGTTCATATATGCTGCACATTTTCGCATTATGGCAGGGATGATATGTTTATATAAAAAGTAATTTTTTTTTCTAAAAACAAAAATATCCCGTTCAACCGTCAGGGTTATAATTTAGATATAAATTGTTGATCTAGATCTCAGACTATATAAATTTGTTATTTTATATATTGTGCAATTCAGCTATGTAGTTTGTATTATTAGTTTAAATATTACTTTGTTTACTCCTTTCTGGCTTGTAACCGTTATTAAGATAGAAATTGTACTATGAATATTTCGATAATCTTACTAATGCTGTGTCATTTAAATAGTATAATATAACAGTAGCCCTTAGAATAATAGTTGATTATCCTTGTCAGTTTTATCTTTAGGAGCAATTTCTTCAAAGATGGCATAGGCATTTTTTACCCTTCTTTGTATAAATTTTAGTTCTAGAAATAAATTGCTTGACCTTACAACGCTGGTCTCTGGGACTTTTGATGTGCAGCAAGTTTTTCCATCGTCATAGGTAATTTACAAAGATTCCTGTAGTAGTAGCAGAGATTCCTGCGGGCTGCGTTAGTGCAGTCAGTAGGAGACTCACTTTCAAATCCAGCTGCGACTCCCTGCAGCTCACGGCGGGTGTTCGAAACCAGACAGTTCCTGGGGTTCACCCAGCGTTTAGGAAATGTTTACCAGAGTTAACACTCTGGGGTGAATGGAGGAACGTCGCTGTAGCTACGGAGTTTTGTGCGGACGGCGACACAGACGGACAGTTTCTTATCATCTGTCCGTAGTGGTAGCAGAGCACTTAGGGTTTATAACCGTGTGCATTGATGATGGTTCACATCTCCCGACTTCACCTTTAACAAATTTTTTTTTTTCACCTGTAGTTAATGGTTTTCTTTGGAGTTCATAATTCTCATACTTCAGTGAGTAGTACCGTATATTATTGTACTTCTAGCATAAATCATAGGTCTTTTCCTGTGTGTGTATACTCTTACTGTGTTTATATCCAAAATCTTCAGGTCGTACTTTAATATTTGCAGCAGCAATCCCACCAAATGTCTCCCTTCCAGCAAAACAGAATATTATTAATAGCGTCTTTATCCCTACTTTATGTTGTCAGTGCCAAACATTAACAGTAAATAAGGCACTAGAACAGAACATAACTACATGTGAAATGCGCTGTCTCTGCAAGGTTACTAACAACACAAGAAGAGACAAGGTTACAAATACCAGCATTAGAAAGAAAGTTTGAATAAGACCATGTCTGAATTATTTTGACAAAGAATGAAATGGTTTGGCCATCTAGTGAGAATGCGGCCAGGCCAAACTGCATATAAGGCTTTTAACAGCATAAAATCTGGGAGGAAGGCGAGAGGAAGACCAAGAAAGAGGATGAATGGTGTAGCTGAAATCTGCAAAAAGATGAACAAATTCATTACTCACGCCACCTGAGAAGTGCAAGACAAATACAGAAAACCACAACACAGGGCTACAACCAGGTATCAGAGAGACGACAAAAGAAGAAGGAGAAGAAGAATTCCCCCCCCCCCCCCCCTTTTTTTCTAGTAAATTGTAATTTCATATATTTGATACCAACAGCGTCTCTCACAATATAATCCTTTTATTGTTCATGCACTTTGAATAAAACATATCTCCAGACACCTGAGTGGGTTGAGAGTGATGTTTGCCAGAAATGTAGCTCCCCTTTCTTTTGGAACTTCCGCAAGATGTGGGCAGATAAAAAAGTTGGAATGAGACAGGTAATTTATCCAGACTAATTTTCAAACTTTTAACACAGCTTTTATTTCATATGTACAGCTGCTTGTGTGTGTGTGGGGTTGATGTTAAAAAAAAAAATACCCTACAAAGTAGGGTGAAGAGAGGAACCCTCAGAACACTGCCTTGGTAATCAAGCGCTCTAACAATTATACCTCTCCAGATTAATGCACACTGGCTGGAAAGTTCCTGAAAATATATCTGACCAAACAAAAAGTGGAATCGGCAAGCTTAACAGACACAAACGACAAGTGGATGTTGTGGCTAGAGCGTTCATCAACACATATATAAATCTAGTTCTACAAATACTAATAAGAATACACAGAATCACTTAACTGAAGTATCTCCGATACAAATCACATTTCTGTCCGGCCAGTAGAATATCTGACATGTGTAGTCATCTGAGATAAATACTGACCAGAAAATGTTGCGAGGGACAAGTGCCATAACTCATAAAGATTTTAAATAAAACTGTGCTGGATGTTGAGTTCCTGAGGTGAGTTGATGAACATGGAATGGACGAGACAGTTCTTGAGAAACTTGCGGACTCTTGTCATTAGAGTGGCCATTTTTGATGGCCCTTCCTGCCTGCAGTGGGATCAAATTTATGTCACTGTGTAAGTAAGTGTGCACTGACCACTCTGCGAGACACTGAACATGCAGTTAGAAAGTTGAATTGAGTCTCTATAGAGGTGGTTATACAGAGCCTGTATTTCATTGAAGCAAAACACTCACGCTTACAAAGGTTCTCGAGAGACCAGAATTGAAAAGAGAGTTGAAAAATAAAACACAAGCAATAAGTGAAATATTTCAGTCACAGTGACAGACATTTTTTGTATAAACACTATTCTTCTTCATCACTTAATTTTTTATCACTTCAGGTGTCAAGGGAGATATAAGGTTCTACTTATGGCTTTTCTGGCTGCCTCAACCATAGACACATTGTGCTGTTGTAGAGTTTCTCTGATGCTATCCTTCCATCATGTTCTTGGTCTATCTCGTGCTCTGTGTCCTTGTCCTATTTATGTGTATCGTATGGCATCACAAGGCATCCTCTCTTAGTGGACAAACCACTTGATTGGTTCTGTGCCGCCTTTGTTCTTATGACCTTATTCCTGATTTTGTCTTTTCTAGTCCCTCCTGCTGCCCTTCTCAGACATCTCATTTCTGTGGTTACTACTTTTCTTTTCTGGTTTGTTATGAGTGACCATGTCTGGTACAGTATGGTCATAACACCTGTACTGGAGGAAAAAGTTGAAGAGAAGTGAACAAGTAGTAGAAAGTGATACAAATGGGAAGATAATACTAAGAGATTGACAAACAGCAGACCAAGAGTATTTACAACCAGAACGAGAGACAGCGATTGTTGGAGATCAGCTGCAGCCTTCAGTGTGGATCCATCACTACTATGATGATTTACTACTATGCTACTACAGCTCTTACAGCCACTTGTCTGCATGCATAATAATACAAACTTGTGTGTGTGTTTTAAGCATCATTGTCGACACTGTGGCAAGGCTTTGTGCCACGCTTGCTGCAGTAAAATGTCCACGATACCACTCATGGGGTACGAGTACGAGGTTCGAGTCTGTGACGCTTGCTTTGAACAAATTACACCGGAAGAGTGAGTGAATATTTTGGATTTTGTTTTTGAAGATTATGAATCATTATTTCCATAATCACCTCTGACTTGAATTTTGCATGTGGAATGTCCAGTTTTTCTTTCTCTGGCCTGTAATGGGCGGTTGGCTCATTGTGTTGTGGTTTACAGCTAGGCTGCAGTATCTGCACCTTTCAGCCCAATACATCCGATTTTATCAGGTTCTTAATTAATAGCCTTTATTCTTCTTCCTCTTCTTTCATTTGCTCGAAATAGATTATTTATATGCAATGTTGTCTCTAGTATGAACTGTCTTTTGTAATTCAATCAGAGACCCCTAAAGTTTGTCTTGCACCGATGTTTCTCTTGGCCAAAAGTTTTGCCTTGATATGTTGTTTTTTGGGACAGTCTTTGAGGACGTGATCTGTTGTCTCAGGTGCCAGTCCACATGTTCACATGGCTGATTTACCAATCTCAGATTTTGTGTACATGTGTATCGCCTTGTAAATGGACAGTGGGTCTGTTTTTATTATTTCCTCCCAAAAGGGGGAAACTCCGGAACCCACGGGGGAAAGAAAATACAATGAAATATTTGTTTTTAATTTATCGGGATTTGCAATAGCACTGTGGTTACTTATTGGGATCTGCAGTAGCACTGTGATTACTTATTGGGATCTGCCTTAACACTGTGGTTACTTTTTGGGATCTGCAATAGCACTGTGGTTAGATGCTTGCCTTTTAGCCCGAAAGTCTTGAGTTCAGTTCTGCAGTGGAAACATTTATATAAATGACATATGACACTTATCTATAGGTCTTCTTGTCTATACCAGTGTCTTTACCCACACTTATCTATAATTCTGTCTGTCCATACTTTCTGTCTTTTCGCACACTTATCTATAATTCCTCCTGTTTATACCCATGTCTGTACCCACACTTATCTATCATTCTGTCTGTCTGTACCCATGTCTGTATTTCACACTTATCAATAATTATTCCTGTCTGTACCCATATCTGTACCCACACTAATCTATATAATGCAGCCTATCTATACCCATGTCTGTACCCACACGTATCTATAATTCTTCCTGTCTATACCCGTGTCTTTACCCACACTTATCTATAATTCTTCCTGTTCATACACATGTCTGTACCCACACTTATCTATAATTCTTTCTGTCTATGCCCATGTCTGTACCCACACTTATCTATAATTCTTCATCTATACCCATGTCTGTACCCACACTTATCTATAATTCTTCCTGTCTATACCTGTGTCTCTACCCACACTTATCTATAATTCTTCCTGTCTATACCCGTGTCTCTACCCTCACTTATCTATAATTCTTCATCTATACCCATGTCTGTACCCACACTTATTTATAATTCTTTCTGTCTATACCTGGGTCTTTTACCACACTTATCTATAATTCTTCCTGTTCATACCCATGTCAGTACCCACACTTATCTATAATTCTTCCTGTCTGTACCCACACTTATTTATAATTCTGCCTGTCTATACCCCAGTCTTTTCCCACACTTATCTATAATTCTTTCTGTCTTTGCCCATATCTGTACCCACACTTATATATACAATTCTTCCTATCTATACCTGTGTCTGTACCCACACTTATACATTATTCTTCCTGCCTATACCTCTCTCTGTACCCACAGTTATCTATAATTCTTCCTGTCAGTGTCTCTACCCACACTTATATATAATTCTTCCTATCTATACCTGTGTATCCACAGTTATCTATAATTCTTCCTGTCAGTGTCTCTACCCACACTTATATATAATTCTTCCTATCTATACCTGTGTATCCACAGTTATCTATAATTCCTCCTGTCAGTGTCTCTACCCACACTTATATATAATTCTTTCTATCTCTATACCTGTGTATCCACAGTTATCTATAATTCTTCCTGTCTGTATCTGTAGCCACAGTTGTCTATAATTCTATCTGTCTCTACTCGTGACTGTTTTCACCTGTCTCCTGCCTGTACTGACCCATGTATCTGCTCACTGGTATGCTTGCTTGCAGCAAAGCCCCACATGCAACATTTCATGACCTCAAACACGGCATCGTGCACATGCACCTGGATGAGTCCAGGAAGGTTCTACTAACTACAGGAAAGGACAGGATCATGAAGGTTTGTCTGCGTTTTTCTTTTAAATTTCAGCTGGACTTTCATTGTACAAGAATATCTGTAAAAGTGCTGCAGTCAACTTCCATATGTACGGTGACCATACATCCCGTTTTCACCGGGACAATCTGGTTTATTAGGTGTGTCCTGGTTGTCCTACCAGTACTTCGAAAAATGCCAGTTGTCCTTATTATAAAAATCCAGGAATAAGCCTGAGAACAAATAACACCTATATATGTAGACCTCATTAGGTTTCATTTTAAATTTCAGCATGACTTTCATTGTACAAAAATATCTGTAAAAGTGCTGCAGTCAACTTCCATATGTACAGTGACCATACATCCCGTTTTCACCGGGAGAATCTTTTTTTTTAGGTGTGTTTCGGTTGTCCTACCAGTACTCAGAAAAATTCCAGTTGTCCTTATTATAAAAAATCTAGGAATAAGCCTGAGAACAAATAACACCTATATCTGTAGACCTCATTAGGTTTTATAGTTTTAGGTACTTTTAATGCCTGAAATATGTTTATGGGAATTTTTATTATAACATATTATTTCAGTGCAGTTAAAGAGCATATTGTTTCATTTATTTTTTGGCGACAATGATTCAGGTTTTAATACCAGTTTTGATAGAGTAATCAAGCCTTTCAACCTGGTGACAAGAAGGGGGGAAAAACGGTGGGGGGGGGGGGGGGGGGGGGGGGGGATTTAACTGTCTTCCAGCGATGTCCAATTTTTCAGTTCAAGATATTTTAGTTACCCTACCCATAAGTCAAACAAAGAGAATCTCAGCACTGTACATAAACTCTAACGCTGGCGAGATCCTAATGTGTGTATACCAGAATCATACATACTATAAATATGATTGTGTGGATTTCTTTCTTCTTTTCGTTCTCCCTACAGGGAGTTGCACAGTGTTGTGGCTTTCAATTTCAGCTGTTACAACTTTCTATGACTGAAGAAGAAGAACAACAACAACAACAACAAGAAGATCAAGAAGAAGAAGAAGAAAATGAAAATACTTTAGAATAAAATAAATTAACTGTGCAAATTGGGATAGAGTCAGTTAATGCATAAGCTTTATGAAGAATGGGAGCCAGCATGGTGCAGTGTCTAAACGCTTGCCTGCAGATCTGAAGGTTGTGGGTTCAAATACAGCTCCAGTTAGATTTTGATGACCTTGGCTCCCAGGTAGACCCAGCCTTAAAACTGATACCAGGTAAACTCATGGGAGGTAAAGACGGCCAGTTGATGTTGACCACATCACGTAACGACTGCCAGTTCTAGCATTATATACTTACTGCTCCTAGGGGCGTAGGAAAGGGTTCTTTATTTATAGGAATAAAGTGAGATGAAAAGCACATCATGACAAGAATAACCAGTGAGTAAAGTAAAGATCGCTTTTCACGCCTTTAGGCGCATCGGGCATATGGGAAGAGCACCCATATTTTTACAGACCAATCGGCACCAGGTGGGTAATGTGGTCAGCATTACGCCGGCCGTCTTTACTCCCTCAGAATATACATCCTGGTATCCATTTTAGGCTGGTTCGACCTGCGACGCCCATGATAAAAATCCACACAGCCAGCAGTGGGTTTCGATCGCGGTACTTTGGAATTACTAGTCAGACTCACAGCGCCTAAGCCATGGATGCGGCAGAATAACCAGTAAAGCATCTTGATCTTACATATGTCCGGGTTTGGCACAGTTTGGGTATAATTGTGGTGTTTATATTCTATTTCTTGGTGGTCAAACTTGTGGTTGGATTTCTTATCTGTCATGGACAAATTATATTGTTGTAGAGTTTCTCATGTTATCTTTCCCTTTTGTTCTTGGTTTGACTCTCTTTTGACTTCTATAGGTATTATTATGAAACTCTTAATTCATGTATGTATTGTTACATAACTTTACATTTATGTGTGGCTATTGACTCAATACATATATGTATTATGAAACTTTTGACTCAGGTCACATAGACATTGTGACCAAATTGGAAGAAGATTTAGACATTATAAAACTTTTGACTCAGGTCACGTAGACATTGTGACCAAATTGGAAGAAGATTTAGACATTATGAAACTTTTGACTCAAGTCCTCTAGGCCATATGAAACTTGACTAAACTTAGGCAGTTATTATGAAACTTTTGTCTTAAAATTCATGTAGCCTTTATGAAAATTTTATTCAGCTTATGTAGGCCTCATGAAATTTCTGACCCATGTTGGTATTATTGTGAAACCTTAGACTCATGTAGTTATTAGAATCTATGCAGCCAGCACAATCTTTTTATTACGAACACATTCTTTGACCATAGAGATTCACAACTTTACACTTGGTACAAATGGAATGATGTCTCCATCAAGAGCCAGATTGACCTTATACTTACCAGAGTTCAAGGAAGAAGGAGAATTCTTGATTCAAGAGCAATCCCTAATGGTCTATGTGACACTGACCATAAAATAGTTGTGTTAACAGCAAAACATCTTACATTAAAGAAAGATAGAAAGAAATTAAACAAAAACAAGGATCTCATCAAGATAGCAAATCTGAAACAGGAAGGAGTAAAAGAACAGTTACAACAGAAAGTAGAGACAGCATTCAAACAATTTCCACATGTAGTTGGCAATATTGAGGAAGAATGGAGTAAATATAAAAAAAACTATGCTTAGTATTGCAGAAAAATTATGTGGAAAACGGAGAGTGGAAACAGACGGGCAAATAACAAATATTCACCTTGGTGGTGCGAAGAAGTAAAAGAAGCAATTTAAAAGAAAAAAGACTTATATAAACAGTGGATAAAATCAAAGAAAGAAGAAGATTATATAAACTATAGACTGCAAAGGAGAGAAACCAACAGGAGTGTCAAGAAAGCAAAACAAGCATCCTGGGAACGTTTCGGTGAGTCACTAGCAGAAAATGAGAAAACAGCCAGCAGAAAATTTTTCAAAGTAGTTAAAAATAAGCGGAAAAGAGATGAGAGCTACAACCCCACTGAAATAATTAATGATAAGACAGGAAGGCCATTGATAGATCCACCCGAGATAGCAGAAAGATGGAGGGAATACTTCAATGAGCTCTTTAATCCTCTAGGAGATCATCAGGAAAGAACAACTGAAGAGCACAGAGCAACAGTGTTAGAACCACACATACTAATGGATGAAATAGAAAAAGTCATTAAACAGTCTCCCAAATATAAAGCACCAGGAGCTGATAGATTACCAACAGAAATAATTCAAGCAGCAGGTGAAAGCAGCATCAGATGGCTTCATAGAATATTCAATGCAGCATGGGTACAACAAACGGCCCCTATTGATTGGCAACATGCAATAGTTATACCATTGTGGAAGAACAAAGGAAGCAAACGAGAATGCGGTCAATATCGAGGCATCTCTCTTTTAAGCCATGTTGGCAAAATGTATGCTAAGATAATATAAACAAGACTGAGACCAGTGATAAAACCACAGCTGGCAGAAGAACAGATGGGATTTAGGAGAAATAGAAGCTGCACAGATGCAATCTTCACACTAAAACAGTTAATAGAAAAGAACATTGAATACAATAAGAACTTATTTGTGGCATTCGTAGACCAGGAGAAGGCATTTGACAGAGTCTACAGACAATTATTATGGAAAGTAATGGCAAGATATGGAGTTAGCGAACACCTCATCGAAGTGTGCAAAAGTTTATACAGGGATTGTAGAAGTGTAGTTAGAATAAATCAGGGAACATCTCATCCTTTCACAGTGACATTTGGAGTAAGACAGGGGTGTGTCTTATCACCACTGCTGTTTATCACCTACATCGACAGCATATGCAAGAATGCCAAGCACATGAATGAAGATCTTAGTAAGATCAACGAATTACTCTTTGCAGATGACCAGGCCTTGTTAGCAGATACAGCCATGAAATTGCAACAACATCTAACATCCATGAATGAAGAATGTAAAACAAATAATATGAGAATCAACACTGAAAAGACAGAAGTAATGTCAATAGGAAAAAAGAAGACAGATCTAAACATAGCAAGAGAATACAAAGGCAATAAACAGGCATCTGAGTTTAAAAATCTGGGAACTACATTTACTGAAGATGGGAATTAACATTAGATGCAGTAAAGCAAACCAAGTATTGGGACAGCTAGCCCCCCTCTTACAGCATAAGACAATCCCAATCAGCACAAAGAGACATCTTATTCAAAGCATATTTATTCCAACTCTGTGCTACCAGTGCCAGACATGGTCACTCACAACAAACCATAAAAGAAAATTAGTAACCACGGAAATGAGATGTCTGAGAAGGGCTGTAGGAGTGACCATAAGAGATAAGATCAGAAATTAGATCATAAGAGAACAAGTCGGCACAGAACCAGTTCTGGATTACATACAAAGACAGCAAGTGAAATGGTTTGCCTACTTAGAGAGAATGCCTTGTGACACCATACCATACATGGAAAGAGAAGAAGGACGTAGAGCACAGGGTAGACCAAGAACAAGATGGAAGGATTACATCAGAGAAACTCTACAACAGCACGATGTGCCTATGGTCGAGGCAGCCAGAAGAGCTAGAAACAGAACCTTATATCTCCCTTGACACCCACAGCGGTAAAAGAGGAAGTAAAGAAGAAGAAGATGTTATTAGAATATGGATCTTTTAGTTAATGTAGACTTTACAATGATACTTAAGATTCCTGTAGCCATTGTTATGTTTTCCTTGTTAGATGGTGGCGGAGAGGGGGAGCGGGTGGGCGGGTTAAATTTTGGACAGGATGCTTTGTTGAAACACATCAGCTTGTTACGGTCTACTAATACGAATAATTAATCACAAATTCTTTTTCGCCCAGCTATGGGACATGAAGACCGTCCTACATTGATCACCACCAGATGCTAGGATAAAGAATCAGTGCCACTGATGTTTGATGTTCAGATACAGGATTTCCAGAGCAAGCAGACGGAGATCACACAATACGTGAGATCCCTGGTTATACATACACAGGCCAGAGGTGTTTGAGT